CAACTCCATCACGACCTGACACACCCACCCGACCCAGGAGAGATACAAGACTTAGACAGGTAGGGAAGGCCTTTAAGTTACCAATATTTTCTAGTCAATGCCTGTGGTTAATTGTGTGTTACAGCGTGATTTTTACAGGAATGTACCTACTGTGTTTGTACAGTCCTGAAATCTGCAAGGAGTAAGTTAAAACTTGCAAACTGGTTTTTAAGAAATGAACAAAGGATGGGAAATAACGATTAAGTCGAAAAACGTCGAAGACTAGAGTTTATTTGCCAGCTGCAACAAGACCTTAATTCTTGGATGAAGTCTACGTAAGATTGCTCCGGTTTCGTAGATTATTTTGACCCAAAGGTCAATTTATTTAAGTTGAATCGTGAATGACCATAATAATTAGGGGTTTTTTTGGGGTTTTTATCTAGCTTCGAAGTAAGTCGCCATCACCCGAACCGGAAAACGAAAATCTACTATCACCGCCTCCGGATGAAGAAGTAAAAGAGCCAAAGAACACAATTGCAGAAGGGTTTGAACTTTCTGCCAGTGATGTTGAATCTCTCAAGAAGCTTTGTGAGCAGTTTGAAGAACCACCCCCTCCTCCCAAGAAACGTGGTAGAAAGCCTAAGCCCCCACCCCCAAGGAAGCGATGTGAGGTTGAACTGCACCAAACTCTGTTTGGTTTGCTTGAAGAACTGGAGAAGTATGAGATGTCCTTCAGCAAGTTGACGAGTAAAGCAAAGATAAAGATTATGAAGGAAAGTCAAGAACCTGAGCCGGTTGATGAACCAGGTACGGACTCCTACTTGGCAAAACAATTGTTCAGTCTTCTCCAATTCTAACGTATTTATGTGGAGCATGATTGACATTGTGTTTGGTAAACGCCACCGTTGGAAGTGTATTTAGTTAGTATCCTTGGTTCTGCCCTTTTTTCTAATGTTACACAGCACATGATTTGCATCGTGGACTAACATTCGATGATGTACTCCAAGATGAAGGTATTCCTACAAGGACTACTGTTTATGGCACGGACTGACTTGGTCAAATCTTTTTTGTCAAATTTTGTATTCGTCTAATTCTTTAAGAACCATATTGTCCTTGATGGCGTTTGCACATTCTCTGTAATTTTCTGAGCAAATGAGGATCTTTTTGTGTTATCTTTTCGCGGAGGTTTTCCAGTTTTACCGATTTTACGGTTGATTTTTATTTTTCCCCTTCAGAAGAGGTGACACAAGCCGGAGAAGCTGAAGAATGGGGCAGCGAAGAGAGCATTGAAGAGGACATTGAAGACGCTGGTGCTCAGAACATGTCCAGTGACGAAGACTTTGTTCTGGACGATGAAGAAAACGAGAAAAACAAAGGGGCAAGTACTGAGCAAGCATCCAATAGTGGTGAGAACAGTGACAACAAAGGTAACGCGGAAACACAAAGTGTGCTTCCGCTGAAGAGAAAAGCTGACGATGCAAATATTGCCGAGGGTAGTGAACAAGCTGCTGCTACCAGTACATGCGTGGACGGAGATGATGATTCGTGTTCCATTGCCATTCAAACGACTCCTCCCAAACTGAAAAAGAAAAGAAGGAAGCAGTCTCTTGTCGCCGAAAACAAACCTACTGCTATGTGTCAGACAGGGACTAGTATTGAGTCTCAAACAGGAGCTGCGGGCGCCTGCCAGAAAGGAACTGTATTAAATAAGCGGAATGTCGTCCACATTCCAGCTGGAATGAAAGGTGTTCAAGAGAAGAAAACAGTTACCCCACCAGTAAAAGTTGCTACCGCCGGAAATGCAGACATTAAAATCACTAACACTGTCACAAGAACTGTTTCTACATCAGAACCTGCGTCTTCTGCTGGTACAGCGGCGGTACAGAAAAGCACTAGCTCTGCGCAGGTACATCAGAAACTCCCACTTGCCTTCAATTTGTCATCTTCTGCTGTAGCACCGCCCGGTTCAGTTGTGGTGGTGCCTTCATCGCATATCGGCGGTACTGTCTCAAGCACGGTGTCTAAGACTTCTTTATCAGGAGCTGTTACTGCCCTATCAGGCTTGGGAAAGGTCATGTTAGTGTCAAGCTCTGGGGTTCCTTTGCAAGTGTTGAAAGCTGTGCCTATCAGTCAGATACAAGGGAAAACTATAAACACTTCTGTCCTGAGCACCCAGAAAAATATCAGGACTATTCCGGTAGGCGTTCCCACTACGCAGACAAATTCAGTAGGAGTAACTACGATCGCATTAAATTCTCCTCAGCTTCCAAGTGTCTCCATTCCTAAAGTTGCCATCGCCAATATGGCTACGACCTCTGGTACATTGACGAATTCAAATAAGGGTGGTCAAGTCAGTACTACAAGTGCGTCATTACACTCCCCTGTTCTTCTAGTGCAACGCCAGGGGGCCGGAGGGGTCGTACCCTTGGCGATGAAGGGAGGAACGATCGTCGTACCTACACCTTCAGCATCACAAAAAGTCGTGGTTATCACCCCGTCAAGCTCATTAACATCATCTACAACAAGCACAACACCGCTGTTATCTGGAACAGGTATTTCTGTGGTGGGAAATACTCAGGTTGCACAGACTACTGTAGGGCAAAAGGTTGTTTTACCAGCAGGCGTCATATCAGCCACCCAGACTCTGTCGTCGCTGAAACCAGAAGCTAATACTGTTTCAAACAGTAAACCCGTCTCCTCAGCGGGTAAAACTCCAACTCAGTCTAATGCTTCTTCTCTACTTAAGGATAGCAATCCATTGAAAACAATAAATTCGCCAGACGTGGCACCGGCTGCAGCTGAAAATGCTTCTTCAACTAAAAAAGTTACCCCAGAGTTTACAACTCCGAGTGAAAAGCTAACGAAAGCGGATTCAGACCGCGTCAGTGAAATGGTTACACAAACTGTAAAGTCAAATTGTGATGTTTCAGCTAGGTTAATGAACAACCAGACATTGCCATCTACTTCGCAAGACACTTCTATAGAGCGCACTACATCTCTAGAAACCAATTTGGAGCAAAATTTGACTTATGAGGATAAATCTTTGCCATCACAGAGCACGAATTGTCAACGGGAAACCATTGATAGTGGTGATACTAATGATAAAACTAAAACAGACTTCGTTGAAAAGGAGCAAGACTCTAAAAATGGTTCCGATCCCCCGGTTGATCTCACATGTTATGAGATAAGTGTAACTGACTCCGCGGGATGTGAGGAAAACAACGATTCTGTCCCGAATGGGCTTCATCCAGATCTGAAGATATCCCTTCCAACTAAACTCACAGACACTGACTTTAAACTGTGTAATGGAGTTAATCAATCAGCGACTTCCGACTCAAATTCCGAGATTGAAGAACTTGACTCTGCAGAACAGAGTCATTCAATCGTTGAAAAAACTCCCAATGGTGCCGTAACGAACGAAACTTAATAGAATGATTGCGATCGGATGGATGTGAGGAAATCAAATTCATTTAGCTAATCTTGTCTCCCTGAAATGATATTCCAAGTGTTTGACTCACGTGGACTATAAGCAGCTCCATTGTTTTTTCTTTCCTTTTTAAAACAAAGATCCAAACCCGTGTTTGTAAGGGTTCGTGTAAGTGTTTCGTTACAATAACTCTAGAATATTTTGCGAAAATTTTTTTTGAAAAATGCGATGGTAACTTGTACAATAGGGTAACTTTCCAAGGGGCAAGACAACGGTTTAAAATTTAGAGACCCTGAGAGACGTTCCTTTGAGGAAATAAATTACTGAGAGCGGATGTGTGCGACCGTTTTTTACCGATATTATTTAGCTTGCCTAGCGTTTTTTTCCTTGATTTAAAATGAAAAGGCTTTTTGTGCTGGACTCACCTTTGCGTTTTTGTTATTATTATTGTTGTTATTATTATTATTATTATTATTATTATTATTATTAATTTATTTATTTATTTTTCATGCTGCAAAACATTGCCCTTAGATGAAACGTTATATTTTCAACCCTATTCCACGTTTAGACACGGCACACCTATGAGAGACATTCAGATCTTCGAAGGTGTTATCTTTCTACCCCTAAAAGACTGACAATAATAAGAATAAAAAAAGGAACGGAAAGATTCGTTACTCCCTTCAGAGTTTGTCGTTGTCGTTTTGTTTGTTTGTTCTTTTCTCTGGAAATAGTAAGTTTTTCGGTTTTGTTTTTCTTTTCGCAAGATTTTAAAAATTGTTTTCGTATATCCATCAAAGCCCTCAAAGGATCAAACTAAAAAAGTTATCACGGTTCACCGAGCATTCCCTTGTTATTAAACCATTCGCCGCGCTGGTGATTTGAAAAGAGAAAATAAAACGAGCCATAGCTAATCAGTTTGCGACATTACAGCTTATTTGGGGTAAATATTTGATTGTAGGCCAGTCCGTATCACACAGCTGATCACTTTCAGGCGACCAAAAATAACAACTTGTAGAAACTATATCTTAATGTTAAAAAGATTTTAAATGGAAATTGTTCCTTTTTCCACCCACGGAGCGGCGTAAATGTGTGGCGATTATGTAAACACTACATAAAAATTTGAAGACGGGTTTTCATATGGCAAGGAATACGACCATGCCAGCGTCGCCTGTAAGCTTGACCGTGCTGGCTGTAGTAATTCTTTGTGGTGTTCATCGTGGAGTTGAAGTTCAACACCGATGGAGATATATGAAAAAGGGAAGAACCAACGCCACACAAGGTATTAGTGGCGATAGCAGGCCGCTTGTGCTCTTAAAGGCGGGCTTCCATCTGACAAGGGCGCAATCCCAACAAATGGTATTTCAATTTTCAAACTTTTAATTACATTTGTGCAGCTGACGCACCTGAAACAGCACGTGGCCAGATGAAATGAAATAAAAGATGCGTCTTGATACTGTTAAATATTTTCGAGTGGTTTAACTTTTTGGCCTCTGTTTGTAACGCATGCTATTGCGTGACATCTGTCACCACCCACATACCGCATGTACCCGCAACGCAACAGGTGTGCAGAGACTCTCGGGAAGGAAGTCTGGTATCATCTCTCGCAGGACACGTCCACGTAGATGTCTTCAATATGCAAAATGAGGAATCAGCCGTGTTAATTTACAAATACACGACTGAGATAGTCTAGTAATTGCTTTTCAGTTTGTAGATTTAATTCAGTTTGTTTGATTTTTTATCGTAGTTTTTCGGAATGCGTCGTTCAATTACTCGCATCTTGTTCGGCATATTTGTACAATGGCTCACTTTGCTACCCTTGTCCCAAGCGATGTTGAACGGGTTTACCACCATCGTAGAGGCAGGAAAAGTGAACTGCTTTTACGAGAATATGGAAGTTAATAAAACCTTGGAAATGGAATATCAGGTGAGAGTTATGAACTTAGGTATACCACTGTACATCGCATATTAGTGCAGTGTCCTATCTAAGGGTTTCGATAAAATATTTACTTTAAGTTCTCTTGTTAAACTTACAAAACACATGAGAACTGTTTAAAAGGCAGAATGAATTATCAGCACGTAAGCTTTATTCGAACGTGTTCGTGAAAATTTATCCCGACAGAAATTTTTTCACTGAAGGGACTTGATATTTCACGGTAAATCGCCTGCCTCTATTGGAAACTTAAACAATAATTTATCGGTACTCTGCCAGGCAACTGATGGCGTTCAGAAATATGAAATTTGTATTTCATTCTAGGAGCTTGAATTGAGCCAATGATGATAAGTGTTTCTCTAGAATTTGAATACCATTAGAAAATGAATATTATTAAAACTTCGTCTAATAATCATCACGTTCCGACCTTTGTGGAAAACAGCACAACATAGTCTCCTGGCTAAATTTGATATATTTCAATTTCTCTGCAATTAGACAGAGGCTTCACAATTTAACATCTATCCCAATTTCAACCTGCTGGCAGGCGAGGAAAACCTTAAATTAATTTCTCATTTGCTGAAAACAACAGGCTGGTAATGAATAAAGGGGGTTAGTTACTAAAGAGACTGTGGTGCTGTGCTAGTGGAAGTGTGACAAGATAATTTGGTTTTATCAACTAAGTTGATAGTGTAAATTGGCCACCATAAGGAGTTTCAAAGCTGACATTTAGAGCATTAGCCCTTCATCAGAGCAAAAGATGAAGGGCATTGATGTTGGCGTTGAAACTCTTTACATTATCAGCTCAGAATAATTTTCGTAATAAGATTTGTATTATGAGACAATACTTCAACATCATATTATTCAATTGGATTTAAAGAAGGAAATACAGACATATGGCCATAAGTTTCATGGGTGGATTGGTTAACCATATTTCTTAGGTATGAAGGCTGACCAGAAGCTCTGTTATACCAAGGATGGTAAAGTAAATTTCTTTGATTGAAGGCAAACAGACCTTTTATGCTGAAGAAAAATGTAACTGTTTTAGTTTCTTAATCATAATGATATTAACACTTTTACTATATTGCCACTTAAACAAAATTATGTAAGGTTTTCTCAGATGTCATGTTCTGTTATTTTGAATGGAAGCCTTTGAAAGATATACGACAAGTTTGTAAGAAGCCATTGCTAGGTGAAAGTGATAACAGATTTGGCTCACATGAAAACCATCTTATCCTTTGTGTTTTTATTTCATTTTTTTTCTTTCTGCAATTGCACAGGTGGTTGAAGGAGGGGGAGAAATGGACATTACCTTTCAAGTGATTTCTCCTAGTGGAGCACTGGTAGTGGATGATCAAAAGAAAACAGATGACTTACATACTGTCCAAGTAAATGAGAAAGGAGTATATGCATTCTGTTTTGATAATTCATTCAGTACACTGGCAGAGAAAACTGTCTATGCAGACTTAGGACTTGAAAGTGATGACATAGACAACTGGTTATCAGAGCTGGAGGGAGACAAAAGTATAGAAGACCAGCAGCTACAAGTTGAAAGTTTACGGGTATTGCTACTAAGTATACGAGTTTACTTTACACAGTAAAATGTGCCTTTCAAAACTATGCATAGTGAGGCCATGTTGTATTGTCAGATTTCATGCAAGACTGGGAACTATTCATTTAAAATGTTCCAGAGTTTCCATGTTTGCACAAAACATTGGGCAAATTCTGAACATGAAATCCATTTAAACATTTAAATCTGATCCTTGTTAAGTTTGCATTTGATTCCATGTAATGCAGGGGGACAACTTTAGAGAGACTAGCACTCCATCTATTATTGGCTATAGTGCTGGTTGCTTCTTAATACAGAGTGCAGGATAGGCTCTGACAACTGAGCGAGTCACTCTTGTATGCAGGCTTTAGCTTTCTTTGTTAAACTGAGCTAGAATGGATGATGGATGTTTCAGTATTGGAAAACACATGTTGTAGATCAAAGTTAATTACAAGTCAGGATGAGTTCAAGCAAGTCTGTCATATTGTCTCCCTAGTTCTACATTACCAAATCCATTACACAATGAAAAATCTAAACCCTAACCAGAGTTAAATAATTCATTCTAAGAGTATTTTTAACTCCAACCTACATATTTAAAGGCCTATGTTCATTAACCTTTGTATCCTTTTGTTGACAGACCACACTTGAGAATATAAAAATGCAGTTGGAGAAAGCTCAGGGTTACCAGACCTACCTTACAAAGAAGAATGTAAAGAGTCATTTTCTTGTAACTAGGAGTGGAAGTAGAGTGTTTTGGTGGTCTCTTGTACAAAGTGTTGCCCTTGTTGGAGTGGCTATATGCCAAGTATTAATTGTGAAGAATTTCTTTGGTACTAATAGTACTGGTCAAAGGATTTGAACATTTTTTTTAGTTTATTCCAAGTTTTAGTGATGACCCCTCTACATTTGCAGTTTCTTTGGGGGTGAACACTGTTATCTTTACTGACTGTTTTCTCATTTGCTTTTGCTAAGTCTTGATATGAAGCTAGCTGATGACAGAAAAACACATCTTTTCCTTTCTAGAACAATTTTTTTAAGTAATATTTAGAGCTTTATATTGATGTCAGTAAAAAAATATCTTTTCACTACTAAATAATACAAGAGTTTCACTATCCAACTTGATGGTGATGATGCCTTCTAGATACAGGACTTGAAACTTCCTGTGATCAAGTGTGGTTTGTTTTCTCTTGAACAGACTCTGAAGGAAAGATAACATTGTGTCTAGGTTAGTCCTACAGAATGGCAGTGTAATCAGACTATCACCTTGACATGTTGCATACTGATGAAAATGTTTTCCCTGTTAAGGAGATTATGTAGCAAAATTGTCATGAACACAGATTGACTTCATGTAGGATTGCTCTTTTGTCTTGCAAATAAATGACATTAAAATAATTATTTTTAAAAAGTGGGGCAGACATTAAGTCAACATTTAACAACCAATGAATAAGCAGAGATATGAAGAGAAATTATGATAAGAAAGGAATATAAACTGTGCTAGATCAGTAGTACAGACAGAAATACTTACAAATTTTCCTAACTGATATAAAGAAATCCCACCAGGAAGGTTTTACATTAACAAGTTTCTCTGCATCAAAGTTTGCACCTTGAAATATGTGCCTCCTGAAGACATTATGACTTAATTGTGTAGAAAAACAAGTTGTTGGCTAAAGAATGTTATTTTGAGTAAAGTGGCATTTTGGACACATCTGTGCTCTTGAAACAATACAAAAGTTGTTTACCCAAATGTTTATTCATTATGCTAAAAATTTCAAACTAAGCACTGAATGTAGTTATCAGCTTCCAATCAATTTAGCCTGTGGAATACTCCTTCAGCATTTGATGTGAAGTAAGTCTACTGTATTAAAAATATTTTTTAAAGAAAATACTGACTATAACCTTAGGGATTTTAATGGAGCAAAAGCCCTTTATGAATTAAAAGTGTCATGTTAATGGATGAAGTTCATGGAAATCTTGAGGAAATCAATAATTCCATTATCTAGGCATGGAAAACCAGATATTTGATTATGGGATTGTGTAAAATCATGGAGAATTCCTGAAGATGATAGTTTTGAGATTGGTCTAGGGATAATGCCTTCATAGCGTGAATTTTTTGGCATAATTTCAAATTTACTTTTTTTAATGGCAAGTTATGGAGAACATCGAAAAAAGTCATTGAAATGATCATAGAAAGTCGTAGACTTTAACAAATTTGTAAGATTAAGAACTCAATCCTGGTTACCATATTAGAATTTTCACCTTCCCTATCTCCTTTTTGGTAATAAAGGAGAAATTCTGGTATTTCAATTTATATTTCAAATTCCAGCTTCAAGGAGATGTGCTTATTGGGAGGATGGCACTTAACAAGTAAGTGCGACAATAGAACTAAAATTAAAAGAATAATGTACATGAACTGCAAGCAAAGAAACTATTCTCTTGTACTGATTCTGCTGTAAAGTGGCAACAGAAGTTTTGCTTTTGTGACCTGACTATTTAAGAAAGTGTAGGAGGAGGGGAAGGGTGGTTACTTGAGGGAAGGCATTTATTTATTCCAGGAAATACAGTTCAATTGATTCTGGTACACAAAACTGAGGAAACAGTTTGAGATTTTGAGCTTCTCTTTATTGACAGAGCTGAAGCATATCTGCCCACTGCCTTGCATACCATAATGCCCTACAACTTTTAAATCTGCAATACGATTAGTTCACTAAAGAAATGATCTTATTTACAAGTTGTACATTGACCATATATTATTATTATTAATCATTATTATCAATTTCCACTACATCTTTTGACTGATCGTATTTTAGTAACATTATCAGTCCCAAAGATGAGCACAAGTTTCACATGACATCAGTACATAATATTGTGTCAGCACTTGAAAGAAAATGTACCTCTAGTGTAACAAAATAAATACTAGCTACAAATTTAAATTAGTGGTGAATCTACTGTACAAATGTTTGCCTATTGAATGTATTTTGTGTGAAGTGATGTTTTAGTGCTCCTAAGCTAAATATTGGTTCTATATACAATAACTCGGGGATGTTATCTTTGACAATGTCATTTTGTGATGGTACAAAGAGGTTAAAGCATTACTTACTAATCATGATATTTGAGGACCCAGAGATTAAAGTTACAAATCAATGGATGCATTAAATTCCCAGAGTAAAAAACAGACTTCAATCTTTTCATGCGACTATGAGTTATGTTTATACACTTGTGAGATAGTGAAAGAGTGGTTCATTATGCAGACAAATTCTTTTGAACTAATGATTAACTTAATTTTCATCACAACCAAGAACCTCAAGACTACAAAAAAAAAAAAGAAAAATGCAAACTTTAAGTTTACAAGAGAGGAACAAAGATACAACACTGAATGCTGTACACAACACCTCATTCTCCCACTCGTCACCCATTCAAGTCTTGTTAATTAAAAGAAATCAGCTACAATAAGTATTAGCGATGTTATTACCAATAAAATATTATAAATATACATGTACAAATACTAAATGCAATATAAACACACAGATACAACATAATAAAAGGTTTAAGTGCATATACAAAGCATGCAATTATTGCTTAAACAATCTTCAACATTATGACTGCAGACCACAGTTTTAAAACAAATAATCTAAGAAATAATTTGAAATATTTAGAGAAAATGAAATATTTAATATTAATACCTCGAAAGATATGCAACCATATGTAAAAGCATTGACAGTTTTTGCAGGGTTTTGGGGGTTTTAAGAGAGAATTGTGGTGTCCAAGGGTGATAAATACTTCTTTATCAGAAAGTCAACTTTGTAGCATATATTTGCTCCCTTAAGGTTCATTGCCAACATTGCAGATCTTAAAGATAAAAAGTTATGTACTGATCTTTATGTTTATGGACAGACAACCCTGTAAAGAGTGTTTTTGAAGTATTGCTTCTTCAATTCCAAATATTTGATAAAAAAGGAAAAACATCTACATCATGTATTTTCACCTCACTTAAGAATGCATTTACATTTCAATATAGAGAAGACTTAAAGAAATTTATGGTCTCTGTATGGTAATTAAACAAATTATTTTTTCAATAAGTCCTAACTAAATCTATGATAAATCAAAAACCCACATTGATATGTTGTGGTTGCAAGCTGTAGTACTGAGACACCATTGGAAGTGGGATGTCAAAATCTTGCCCATCACTATTAACAAAGTATTGCGCAGAATTTTCCATTTCTACCGTGGTTGTGATTGGATCGCATCCATGAATGCCACTGATTGGCTGTGTTGACATCGGCAAGGTTGTACAAGTGCTGAGTGTTGGATCAAGTGGAAGTTCGGTGCTTTGAGAGATGATGTCATCCCAATCCAGTACTTCATTTTGTTGAATTTCTTGAATCAAATCATTGCCAAATAGTTCCTTGGCGGCATCTGCTGCTGCTATGTCTTCACAATTTTCTGACTGAATCAGCTCTGGAGAATTTTCCAAGTCCTCACTTGAGATGGATAACTCTTCTAGGGAAAACATAAGAAAATTAAACTCAGAAAAAATTTCCTAAAAATAGCAACTAATTCTAATCAAACAACATATCAGGAGGGAGAAAGTCAAAGTTGATACATTTCTCCCTACAGACAAACTTACTTGCTCATGATAGAGCATTCCTCTACAGTTACTAACTTGGCTAGCCAGTGTTACTTTAGCTTGAGAAGAATTGTTTTAGTCACAAGTAATTGCTTACTCTAGAACATTTGTTTTATTTCTAGAAAAATTCAATTTCAGCATTATTTTTGAGTCAAACATTAACTTAAAGGTCATGAAATTATAGGAAATGGTCTTAGCTTAAGATGCTCTTGACTGTGAAACAAATTCCCCTTTTCAGTTCCATAGAATATGTTTAACCAACAGAATCCTACAAGCATGTACACAATATTGATGCCTATGCTTCTTGTCGTTTTTTGAAAAGTACACTTTTGACCAGCTGTAAAGGGTATGAGAATAGTAGAAAAGCATATCATTGGTAGAGTGTAAAGAGAAAGAGAAAACACTGCTTTGTTAAGTCCTCACATACCTGGATTTGCCATGCTTGCTCTAATTGCTTCAGCATGTTTTTTCTTCCATTTTCTTATTTCCTTATCCATTTGTTCACGTCTCTCAGGTTTTAATGACCACAGGCATCCTTTTCTCTGAGAGGCACCTTGAGGCCTTTCCAGCTTACAAAATGCCTTGTTCAATGAGAGATTGTGCCGCACAGAATTCTGAAAAGAAGTAGCAACTTGCATTAAAACCAGGTCCTATATGACATTTTTATTGTGAATGGAAAAAAAACTGAGAGGTGTTTAGAGTAGAACTTTGATTACAAACAAATGATTCATGGTTTTTAATTCAAAACCTTGCAGTAATGTAGGAAAAATAATATCTAGTTTGAAACCCAAAGATATGATGGGGAAAGCTTGTATGCTGAAAAATTTGTAGAACCTTACAACTGTATTCAAAATACAGCTTGGATGAATGAAGTACATTTTTAACTTACAACAAGGTATTTCTGATAGAATTCCTAACATAATTCAGTTTTTTAAATACTTGTAAGAATCTTGACATCTTGTGGTGAAATCTCTCCAAAGATTCTCAAAAGGTCTGGTTTGAATTTCATTGATGTGCTTAGATCATTACAAGCTTTTCAATACAAGTCAAAGTAATTGTAAAGTGTTATACTCAACACTCTGATAAAATAAAACCTTACAAATAATTTTAGTGACAGTGATTTGCTAATTAGTAGTCATAAGCACTAACAAAACACTCCCAGTGCTTTCTTAAACATCAGAATGCTTGCCTTAATCAAGCTGACATTATTTTAAATCAACAGCTATGTCCCTATAGATTCTTATCTTGTGTAGAAAATGTTGTAATGTTTATATCTTAATCAAACCCATAAGAAGTACGAGAGCAAATTTAACAATGGTGAGAATTTTGAACTACACTGAAATTTGCTGTGTCTTTGAGGACATAATTTTCCAATGTAATCTCTTATATGTGTTTGTCTACTTTGTATAAATGTTAAACTGTCGTTAAATAACTATTGCACTGGTTTGAAATGTTGTAAACTGATGAAAAGTAAATGGAACAAACATTCAGTCTGACTTACATAGTTGCACTCTGATTTCTACATTAAATGGAATGTAACATCATTAAAAAAAATAGCCCAACTCAAAGATCTGCCTCATGCAAGAAAAAAAATTGTTCACAAACTGTGAATTCTGCAAAATTCTATAGGTCTGTACTAAATCAAGGAATAACTACAGAAAAATTTTCTTCCAATTGAGAAATTTTCTGACAACAAGTCCATTTACACTGAATCCCTTCTCAAGAGTCGTTTGAATGTGAGAGAGATCATGAAAATTGAGATATTTAATTGAAAAGTATAGCATGAAACCTTTCCTCTCGTAGAAATCACTGCAAATTGAGGTGTGGTTCACGAAAATCATACATTATTAATTGGTCACTAGGGGAAGATTAACTTCCTTAGTAGAAAAAAATTAAGTGTCATATTTCAATTTCCACGACATAGGAAGGAATAACTTAACATCATTTACTGCTTGAAAATAATTTTGAATAATTTTGTTAACGCAATATGGTCTGACAAAAACTCACAAATGCATACAGGTCGAACAAATTCAATTTTAAAAAAAGTTTCAAAATAGGAACTTCAATTCAAAACACTGATGCAAAAAAAAATTAAAATGGAGAGAGACTTTATCGCACATATTATTTTACCAGCACGAAATTATCTGTCATCAACTTTTATGGGAATGAAAAATAGATTCATTTTCAAGCATGATAATTTGCACGAACCTGAATATCGTAACGTATTCCTTTTGTAAATAATATATTTTTCTTTTTGATGTCATATATTTTTGCAAGACATCCCAAAACAAAATAGAATGTTACAAACAAACTACTGCGAGGGAGATGAAAACACTGCAATTAATTCCTGGAAAGGATAAATTTGCATTGGGGAGTGTTTCAAAACCAAATTTCCCACTGGGTACAATTTCGAAACGTTCTTTCACCAATTACGTCAAAAAATTCTTATTATGCTGATGAACGAAAAATCATGTCATCTTCGTTGAACAATTTAGAACAAGGAAAAGATAAAAAGGAAAAGACTAAGCCTTAAAAATTATAGAAAGTGTCGCCATCATGACAAAATAGACGTGGATTATTTATTCGTTTAGATTTCTAAGATAGATTTTAAGGTGCAAGTTGTAGCAAATACAATGTTTGAAATCAGCTGAAACTTTACGCCTTTCATTTCCAGTGAATCTCAAAAATGTTATCGCTTTACTGAAGGGTTGGAGAAGAGGAAGGAAAAAAGGAAATTGCGAAGTACTATTGCTGCACTACGAACCTCAATTAGAATGAACATTAATTATTCACAGTAGCAACCACCTGTTGGAGGAGAACTTTCAAGAAGAAATATTTTTTAAAAATCATTGTCAAAGATACTTTTCGTAAGGTCAAGATTTTACTTTGTTCGCGGTAGGATCCATTAAGCTTTTAGTCTGCTAGTTATGCGAATGATTCACCACACTGAAGCGAAATTTACGGGGACAATTCATTTCAAAATGAATTTAGTTACAATATTTCGGGTGGAGTTGAATTACCATATCGTCGATCTCGCTCGCTCATGCCGAAGAGGGCTTCGATTTCCAGGGTTCCGTCACTATTTCATCGTAAAACAGATCAGGATCACAACGAATAGTTCAAGAGATGGAAGGAATTAAATGGCCAATTGTTTTCTGACCACCCATAAATAAAATTATAGCCCCACCCTTTGTATCGCAATATTCACATTTCAGTAATGGCTGAATCTCGCAAAATTCGAGGGATCCGCAAACCCTGTATTTTACACCAGAGTATCTTGATTCAACTGCACGTTATGTCGTTCATCTATCGCAAAACCTAGGCGCAATATTTGTGAAATAATCGGGTAGGAATTTCTACGCAGGTTCATAATATTCACGATCTGATTTTACAAGGATGGCGCGCGATGAAGGTTCATTCTGAATTCATTTTGACATGCCCTCTTGGTCGACAGTTTCCTCAACAATTCATTACTTTGCCTTGATTTAGTTATGTCAGAATTTTCACCCATAAATAGAACTCCGATCGAGCAAACTTTACGTTGGCCACAATCCTCACTTGCAACACTTCCTAGTCGAACAACATTCAGTCCATTGTGTTACATCCTACTCAATAAACACTAGCATTACTCGTGTCATGAAAGCGAATGAAATGCAATGAAAATACCACACCGCTGTCAAATTTTTTCCTTCTTCGTTGAAAATTCCATTTTTTTGAAAGAACATATTTGAGAATCGAAGTTTAATTCGCAAAACGATCGACAACTAGATAATATTTTGTACATGACTTCAATCGCTGTCAGCTGTTCGGAACCCATTGTAATGCAGCAAAGAAAACCATTCAAGTGCCAAATTTCAGGAAACCGTTGAGATAACGACAGAAAAGTTTTTAAGAAGTTTGCCCAGAGCTTCCGAAGATTTTATCTGACGTTACAAATATCACAAGCTAGACCAATTTTTGGAGAGAATTTTTCAGAAGGAAAGCGATTGTAGTTGTGTAACGTGAACCGTTACAAACTCCATGTTTTTAAATTCAAAATTCGCAGGTACCGGCCATGCGAAGAATGGATTCGATAAAAACATTAACACTCACCTTCCATCCATCTGGAGCTGTCTTGAAATACGGAAATTTTCCCCTATAGAAAGCAAAACAAAGCAAATTTCAAAAGCCGTTGCGGATATTAGTCTAATAATTTGCCATGCTCCATTTCAGGCGCCAAATGAAACTTACATCATGAACTTGTAGATTTCACTGACTGGGAGTGTGCCTGAATCGCTGTTCTTCAAAGCCATAGCGATTAAACAAGAATATGAAAACAGAGGCTTCGGGTAGGCTTTATCCTGTGATTTTAAGCTATCTTTCAAGCCATTTTTCTGGTTGTGCTGGTGGATTTTGGGCTTCGAATCAGTCGCACGTGCCTGCAAAATCTGAGGAGGTGGAACTGCAGTAACGTTGACTTGAGTGTGTACTTGGGACATGGAAACTTGTTGCTGATTCGGCCACTGTACTGGTAAAGCAGTATTAGGATCAACCATAACTTGTTTCTCGCTTGCAGAGCCTTTTTCCATGGGTATACTAACGCTTTGTAGCCATTGCAAGTTTGTTAAATCGGCCGCGGGATGGCATTCCGTTCTGGGCCTTTCATGCTTTACTGTCAACTGCTGTATATCTTGAAAGATACCCTGCTCCTGCAATTGAAACAACGGATCGTTCAAATTAAAATCCATTTCCCGGCTATCGCAATCCACCATTTCGTGCAGCGAGAGCGAATCCGGAGTATCGTAGAATGCTTGTTGAAAGCTGTTCATCATTTTGGAAGAACTAGTTCAAAAATTTTCTCAAGCGAATGATGAGAACAGAACTTTACTTCGATGTGAATCAGTTACTGGCTGTTCGGATCGAACGAACCAGACAGTCCTGATTGGCTGAATTCAAGCGGTCTTCTAAGTGATTGGTTGTCACGAAAAACAACCCCCTGAGGTCTGATCCATATATGGCCAAGTTACTACTTTCGGTTCTTACAAATTCTTTCGGTATGATCTGTTCAACCACCAGTAATTCGCGCAAAGAACACCTCCGCAAATGTGTTAAAATACTAGTAATGCACGGTCAGATGCCTTGACCGGTAACTTGCAACGTTTAGTTAACATTTCGCGCTTAATTTGTGTATATTTTCGCTGCTGAAATGAAATACAATTGACGGAAATCCGTGCTTACTAGAGCGAATCAACGTTTCTTGTTGTATTGTGGTTGGAATGTTGACAGCCGACCCCACCCACGTTTTCTTTCGCGCCGAAGTGATTTGCATAAGAATAAATTAGGATACGTTAAGAGAATTATCGAATTTAGGAATCGTCATCCGCCTCTGCTGAATCAATGATTCATCGTCCAAATCCCTGTCTTGTGTGTCGTCGACGTTTACCATAGTAACGAAAAAACCAGCAAATATTGAATATTTTCAAGGGAAATTCTAGGAGTTTTTCTTTTCGTTAGTTTCGCGCGTTCGCCGAGTCAGTGAAAAGAAATGAACCTCAGTGAGAAAGAGGAAGAGATTGCGAAATTTCGAGAAAAACAATGCTTTAAAAAACGGTCTTCGTAATGCTAAAAATAAGGCAATCCTATAGATTTTTTCATGCTTTTGTATATTCTTAATTTTTTAAATGATGTTTACCGGTCGATCTTGTCCTTTAGGTAAAAATTTAATCGCCACAACTGAAGACAATTCGGTACCTCTGAACAGAAGAGAAAGATCGTAAAAACCGCCGTGATGTTTGCACTTTAGCCGCTCTTCTTTTTGCCACACTCGCGGTATGAACCTCGCGGCTGAACAAAGCGAAAAAAAAAAAACAGTCGCGGCACCATGTTTTTCAATAAAAGTGTGTCCTTTCTAAATGCGCGTGCCACCGAATGAAAACTCGCGATAAGGGGTCCTACTTCAAAGCCAAGTTTAGCTCGACAAATGTGTTTGAATACAAAAGGAACTTTTGAATAGCACAGGCGAGGATTACTCGTGTTGTAACGGCGCCGGTCTCAAATCTTCCGATATTTTATTCGTTTTTTCCAGTTCCTTTTTATGCTTTCTCGGATTACTTCGCCAAAACTTACACAAATGAAGCTGGCAAATTATCAAGTTTTATTGTTTGATTCTTTCAATTCTCTCTACGTGATATGTTAGGCTTATTTTATTTTTCTCATCTTTCGAGCCAAAATAAGAGAATGCAACAGGTGTTTTTTTCGATCTTCTGATAGATCGATATTTGAATAATTATATTGAAAACTGATAAAACACTGAAAATTCTTCCTTTTAATTTTTTTTAAGCCCTAAGGATCAAATGCACTTTTCTTTTTTTTCGGAAGGGAGGGAAAGTTTTTTTTTTGCAATACCCAAACTCGCTGCGAAATTTGGAAAATTTCTTTTCTAAAATACGTTATGAGGTATGCAAATCAAGACCATTTTGCAGATATTTCTGAAGGCAAAAAAACTTAAACAACCAGTAAAAGTGTGAAAACTTGACTGAATTGTGGCCAAAAAGTAAAGAGGAGACGCCCATGGTTTTAAAGGTGAGCCAGAGGAGGGGATGAAGTTTGTGGGAGCATTTCCCATTGAATATTTTTGTGTTAATTTATCTTATTAATTTTCCCCAGCCAATTTTTTTTTCTTTGACGGTTTTTTTTTTTGGAGCAGAAAGCTATCCAAATGGAAGTTTCCCACACGAGTTGAACTCGATTGATAAAACTCAACGGCTCCGGCGGATTCATGCGAAGATGGTTATTTGACACTTCTCAGTTGCTTATTTTCTATTATCGATTGAATACCAGAAATTTAATTTTTTCATGTCGAGAATGGAATATTTCAACATTCCTTCAAGACCAAGAGAATATCAACAGTTGATATTCTCTTGTTTAAGACTTAACTGTAAAATTGCTATAAATGAATCTACACCATCATGCATAAAATAGAAAAAGCCGCGATCAAATGAAACTCGAAACCTCCCCTACGAGCAGGACAATCAGCCGATGTGCTAACAAATGATACACCAATTTGAAAGCTGTTTTCTTGTGGCTGCGCCACAAATGGAATCGCAGCGGAATACGAATTGTCTACCTGCATATAACACGGATCTCTACTCAGCAGGACTAGTAATGAATTATAGAGTTGTTGATCGGTACCTGTTGAATACTGAAGAATAATTCATTTCTGAACCAACAGACTGCATTCAACAGGTGACAGACAGGTGCCAGTTGGACGAACATTAAGCTGGCTTTTTCATTATTATTACTCTAATCGAATTTTAGATTCGCCGAACAACTTCGTTACTAGTAAAAACAGATTTTAAAAGTCTCCCATTTACAGCTGAACTGGTCGATTTTGGTTTAAAGTACTAATCATTTGTAAGATAAAGTGATGCTCATGATATCACATCTTTCGTGCGCCATTATCCGGATATTACAGACTGGCAACTTAATACCCTGTAAAACCGGTCAGTAATTATGAACGGCTGTAATTCCTCTTTTGAAAAATTGCCAATGTCTTAAGTTCATGAAGTGATGAATAGTGGGAGATAAAGTTATGACGCTACGAATTTGAGAGAATCATATAAAGACGTTTCTTTTTTTCTTGCGCGCGTTATATGGAAAAAATTACAGTTTCTCGTCAACAAGAGAATATCAATATTCTCTTCTTGTGAACGGACAACCCTACCCACGATCAGTTTGACGGTAAAATTCTGCTTTTACGTGTGAAAATGAGCCTCTATGCAAACTGCTGAATTAACACAGTCTTGAGAGAGGCCAGCTCCAGATCTAGGCATTACCAAGAGAGAATGAAGCATAAACTTTATCCTCTCTTGACATTACTCTGTCCCCTCGGGTGGCTCGTCTCCTCGTTATATATTTCCATTTGTTATATAGCTGGCAGCGTCCGTGGGCAAAACGAAGTAAATGCTATGTTCTGATTGGCTACCTGAGCGGGCAATGTGGGCCAGCTTGCCCGCTCGGTACTGCCCGCTTCGATCCCGCGCAAGAAGATAATTGCGTGGAGCGGTCTTACAAAGCTCGCAACTTTCGGACAATGCCGGCGATCAGGGGAGTCGCAAAAAGCGGCAGAAGACAGTCAATACAAAGAAAACATAAAAGACTCACATGGATTTACTGTACTATAAACACAGGTGGCTTTCTTGAGAGAAACAAGTCATTCTTGATTCTTATTAAAGCGATTTTTTTGGCCATGTTGTTGTCCAAACTTGTTCGGTCAAGATGGGGGATTTTAGCCTCCTTCCTTTTTTTTTTTTTTCTGCGTTTCTATGAAACTCGATCTCCTTTTGGTCCATTGAACGTAAAAAAGAATTCGGCCAATAACCCAGCCACATTGACTGAGCAAGCGTGGTGAACAATGTATATATCTTTTATTGCTTCTATTGATTGCCATATTTTAAATGCACCAAAAGAGCAACTATAATTTTTATTAAGCCAGGGAGAAATTAAAGATGATAAAGTATAGGCTCAATGACCTAAAGAAGAAATCATTTGTAATGTATCATTGTCACAACAGGAGCCCATTACTTGGGCTCCTGTCAGAGTAAATATTAAACCTCAAAATCTCTCAGCTGTCGCGAATTGTTGTGCTCACTCTGTTATTTTCACTCCCTGCGATCAGTTACAAGTGGGAGTGAAAGGGGACACTTGCCCAACCTGCACTTAACCCCCTTCGAAAATGTGGTCAATTTAGGGGGGGAGGGGAGGGAAGAGTTAGTCGGGAAATCGGCGTTGCTCTGATAAGAAGAAGGCGAGAACACAATGGACTGAAACTCAGGAATGACTTGCAAATTTTTGCAAATTGTCTCGCAACATGAGTTTTCGCGATGAATGATTTTCATTACCATTCGAGAATGATGATTTATGCACTACTTCAGAATTCTGTCTATGTAAGCGTTGACATGCTTAAGTTCTTCGCATAGTTCCGCTCTTTTCTTGTCTTTTACGAACAGCCCCCTTCTTCATTTATTTGAAGAGTCGTCATTTTTTTGCAGCAAACACGAGGTTAATAGAGGGAAATATTAGGAAAAATCCGGGAATAAGAGCTTTAACTTTTTGATTTAACCTAAAAAAGTCTGTAAACGATGAGAACGACAAAGCTCTTGACACAACACTTCAAAATTAATAGAGGATCTTGTGATCTCGTGTTGTCAAGGATCACTGATTAGATCAGGGTCTGCGTTCTGCCCATTTACTGTCAACAGACAGCGAGAGGATCTCAGGTGCACTTCACTTGCTTGGCATAAAGCTGTCTGATCGAGCAATTTTATCATCAAGTTTCCTTTCGTTTTAAAGGTAATGAGAAAGAGTATTTTCAAGACAGCTTCAGAACTCGAGCGACTCACAATTTTTTAGAATTCTTTTGCTCGAAATTGTTTTGTGATTTTCCATTTCCAACCCTCTTGGTTACGTGCAACATTTCTTGATCGGTTCTATACCATTTCGAATCATGCATGCTTTTCCGTTAATTTGAACGATTTGTTTTTGTTTTTGTTTTTGTTTTGCTCTACTCAAGTAAAAGATCACTGAAACATCGAGTTCAAAACAATTAGAGCACACACAAGAGCTTCTTTATTACAAGCAATGCTTTCTTGATATGTCAAAGCTAGAAATGTTTGTTGATTTTCTTTAAAGTCTAACGATTCTTCCGTGACTTTTAGTTAACAATTCGAAATTCAAACAGAAAGTCATGCAAAGTTTTTTTTTAAGAACAGTCGCCTGCTGAGATAAGATAACAATACGTTACACATGAACATGAGAAATCGTGAAAAGTGCCTCTTAAAAATTGAAACCTGAAGACTTTTGAAAAACAATTCTCAGTAATTGTGCCTTTGGTGATAAAGTCGCGCTCTTCTCATGGGATCGCGTGACTTGCTAAGAAACCTGATTACATTAAAGAAGAATGCCGTATTTTTATTTTTTGCCGAATCTTGTGAAAATTGGTTTCAAGTCGTGTGCTCGATTGACAAATCATTGCATGGTTGCATGTCCAATGTGTTGTGAAGAATGCTATCTATGGTGCGCTACCTACAACTAGGCGAAACTAGGCGACCTTCGATATGGCCGTCTGATTCAGATTAGGTCAGTGGTATGTTTTCCAAAATGATAGGTGCGTGGTGTAATAGACTAAAACCAAAATGGCGGACTCAGCTAGTTTATCTGCGCTACAGTTTAGTGGTGGTGAAAAAGAAGTCATAGAAAGGACAGTGAATGTTACTAATGATACTGTTTGTAGTAAAAATAACAAAGAAGAATTTTATGAAATTTCGAGGTGCACGGATGTTATAAAGAGTCTTGGCTTTCAAAAGGTAAGTCACTTCCTCAGGTCTGAGGCCACTTGCGTGTTTGTGTCCCAAACAAATTAAGTTAACACGCCCTTGCTCACTTCTTCATTTATTTTTTTTCCATTTTTATTTTTTTCGTTGACTCTTTTTAACGAACATTCTCAGCTGAGTAAATGATGATCTCTTGTTGATCTTAGTACTTTCCAAGTCGTGTCTGAAAATTACATCAACAAGGAGTTAAAACAATTTGATCACAATAATGATATTCGCTGTCAGGAGTCAGTCTGATTTAGTTCCTCCCCCTTTTGATCCGTTGTTTTTCTGGGAGCGTTTTGGAGAGTTTGCTGCAAGAAACTGGCCATGGACATATTTTTATTTTATTTTATGTGTTTTCCTCAATTTTCATCATCTGGTTCAATTTACAAGTAAATTTTTATCATTGTCATCATCATCATCATCATCATCATCATCATCATCATCATCATCATCATCATCATTATTGTTATTATTTTCATTTTTATTATTATTGCAATAGTTGCACATCATATTACAAGCTAAGATGCACATGCCATATTACAGAAAAAACTCAGTGTACAATACACAGAATTTCATGTTTTCAGATTGCACTCCAGTTTCCAGACTCACTGTTAACCGATTCAGCTGCTGTTTCTTCATTGATTGAAAAGTTCACCGGAAAGAAAGTGTTTGTGTTAGCTGATACCTCATATGGAAGGTAAATTAGTTGCTTTGTATACCTCAACTTTTTCCTCTTGTTGTAGTAACAAACTGGAGGATAGACTGGATGACAAACAGTGATGTATAATCATTAGTTTCCCACAGGTTTTTAAAGTAATTTCAGATAGATTTGTCCCACATGTTTGCATCCTTGTTGCCAATTACTTCACATCACGAGATGATTACTTTGGGATATACCAACTGTGCAATCTTCCACAGGAAGCTTAGTGTAAAAGAGTATGGTGTGCAGACAACAGAAGAACTGTAAGCTTGTTAACAAGTGTAAGCCAGATAGTGACAATGAATGAGACCTTAAGCTTCCCTTGCCTAATTTATAACAAAATTTTTAACATGTAGAAAAGAAACTAAAAATCGGATCTTGGGAATTGGATAGTTCAGCAAGAAAAACAGAAAAAAAGTCACTTATTTTTTTCATGCATACTGTGCTAAGAATATTTTATGCCTTTGCACAGTAATTATTTGATTATTTGTTTTTGGCTTTAGTTGCTGTGTTGATGAAGTTGCTGCAGAACACATTGAGGCAGATCTTATCATTCATTATGGCAGAGCTTGTTTAAGCCAGTAAGTAAATGAAATAAAACTGCTAGGTGCATAACCTGAAATTTTCCTACTATAGTGGCTGAAATGTATAGTAACTTGATGGCTAGCACACTGACTTAAGTTGCCTTTTTTTAATTAAGTTGTTGTTTGTTTTCAGTGACATGGGGCTTGTTGTTGTGACAAATATTCTAAATAAAATATAGCAAGATTTAAATAATTATGTATTTGAGGTGTTAAAAGAATATTATGAAAAACTTTTGTTTGGCCTGATTTAAAGCTTAAGTAGCCCCCCTTGAAAGAAGCATTCCATCTCCAACAAAAATTCTCAGAAACGAAAGAAATTAATGGTTCATTTTGTGTCTGTGAACAGGACTCGGCGACTTCCTGTGTTGCATGTTTTTGGTAAATGGCCAATCAATGGTCAGAGTTGCTTGGAACAATTTGGACAATTATTTCCAGACACTGAAGTCAAAGTGATTGTGTTTTGTGATGTGGTGTACAGTCATTGTATGGGTAAGGAAAATGTATGATCATCACCTGAAATATTGTGTGGAAACAGCATCACCAAATGGATGTGGTGTGGCCAAGTGATCAGGGTGCTGGACTTGTAATCTGGTGGTCCTGGACTTAAACCATCCACCCTGCTACTCACTGGATTTGTTCTTGATTGCCCTGAGTTCAACTCTTCAGCCGCACTGTGTAAATAGCTAACTGGTCTACCTCCTGCCAGTTTAGATTTTCAAGCACTTTATGTTTGTAATGTAATATTGACTCTGAAAAGCCCCATGGGGATGAGCCAATAAAGTATGTTTGTAAATATGTGGTAAATTTAGAGTCTAGTTTATAAGTCTACACACCATGTCATGTTGTCATCTTTTGGAAGAATTTGCTCTCAGGTTCTGGGAGTTAAGGGATTTAGGTGATACTATAGGCTTATGGCTGGGGTTTTTTCCTGTTTAATTTATTAGAAGAATTGCAGAATTATATCAAAAGGAATTACCCTAATGTGGTATTCACAAAGCTCATCTGCTCCACATTTGATCAAGAAGGGGAACTATCTCAAGGTAATGAGCAAACTGCTGATGAGTTCAATTCCCAAGGCAAAACAATGGAAGAAACACCATTATCAGCTGAACCTTTGCAAACAGATGTTGAAATGACTTCACTTGAAGAACATGGGAATGTCCAGCATGATAAAAATGGTTATTTTTGTAGGTGAGTTAAAAGTGATGATTTGTCAAAAGGAAAACTTTCCCAGAAGGACTTTGGCACAGAAAGATAAACTTCCATTGCGAAATTCAAGAATATATGAGAATTCTTTTCTGTATTTGCCCCAGGGCATGCTTCTGGTTTCAACTTTTCTTTAAGATAAAGCTTTTAGTCCACAGTCATGAAAAACATATCTGGTTGAAAGACCTCTATTGTAGAAATAAAGAGTCCTCTACTATAGTTGTTACAAAGAATTGTCTAAGTTAAGTCCTAGAACATTCTATAGAACAGTCTAGAACCAGAAGTCATCCAGATGTGACCTTCTGGTATGAGAACATTCTAGAACATTCTATTTCTTATGTAATTATTCAAGTTTAGAAACCATGTTAATCTACTAAATTTATGTAATAGTGTAGTTTGATTGTTCGGGTGAGTGTAGTCCTGAGAAGGACTGTTGTCAGTAGTGGTGACTGACGTTTCGACAACCTGAGCGAAAGTCATCATCAGAGTCCATTGAAAGGTTGTTGTCAGTTGAATGTACTTAGTCCAGTTTGTGTACACTGATTGGTCAGTTTTGCCATGATGTTATTGGCTGTAAAACTCAAGTGGCGTAGGTCAGTTGTGATTGGTCGGTTTGGATCCATTAGTGAAGTTAGGTTGTTCTATTCGGTTCATTTGTAATGTTAATGTTGTGGATGAGTCGTTTGTATGGTGCTGGTAGTGGTTGACACCTATTGAGGGGAGTCTGTTCCAAGTTAGTAAACCAGCTTTCCAGGGTCAGTCGTTGAAAGTAGTTAGTGCTGTAGGTTAGGCATTGCGCAGAGTCCCAGTCAATAGTGTGGTTCGTAAGTCGGTGATGTTCAGCAATGTGATTGTTGACATTGGCAGCCTTTCCTCATTGCTCATTTGTGTTCAGTCAGTCTAGTTGCGACTGAACACAAACGAGCTGTACTACTAAATTTAGTTCTTTAGAGAAGTTTCTAGATCCTTGGACTTTATGTATATAAGAGCGATAGTTTTGTTCAAAAGAGAGAGAAGTGTGAAGAAGCTTAGTGCTGTAAAGTCAAGAAGTCAACTACATGGAAATAAATCAGTTTGTTGCTGTTACCGATGACCCTGAATTTTGTCTGGGAACAACCCTGCTCTACATTGACATTCGTAACTGTAGTATTGTCAAGCATGGTTGGGGCTAATTTAATTTTTTTCCATTTTCAGGTTTGGACGTGAATTTAGTCTTCCTGCTGATACACAGTTGGAGGACTTTGCTGTATTTTACATTGGTGGTGAAAGTTTGTGTTTGCAGAATTTGATGATGACTTACAACAAATGTCAGGTATCATTTACAATGAATTTATGGAAACAAAGGAGAAACTGTCTATCACAGCCTTCCCTCCCATCGGAATTTGCTGGCTCATTCTCTCATTGGGGTAAACTGCCAGCCACTGTTTGGGACATGAGTCTACACTCCTACTTGAACTCCTCTAATCCTTCTCAGAGGATCAAGGAGAGGAGTAAACAGCTGAAATGAGAGTCTAGCCTTACATTTCTCTTTACACTCTGGCCAGCACTCCTGGGGAAAGAGAGACTCTAGAAAAGTCTCACTGAATATTCAGCTGATATACTCCCCTGTTTTAAATGTAAAAGACTATGGATCCTGAATCCCTAAAGGATTTTATTGATCTTGTGACTTTCTTACTACAATTACCATTATCAACTTTGACGATCAAGTTATCTTCCCCTCCCTTCCACCTCAGCCCCCAAAATCATCAATTACTTGTGATACAGTAAACTATGCTGACTCAAGCTCCTCTTCAGTATTAATATAAGAACCACTCTTTCCTCTGATAGTTCTATTCATATGATCCTTGCACCAATATTGGCAGAAAAGAGACTCTGAATGTGAATAAAGCACTAATGAAAAGGTAAATGATAAATTCTGGCTTTCAAAAGATTCATTGGGATAGCATTTGAGCTTAAATGAAACTGTTCTAACATATGCTTTCACTGTCCATCAAGAAATCCTATATTTTATTGTCTCCTGTCCACAGATATTACATGATACAACGAGCTAAAGATGCTCAGGTAGTTGGAATAGTGGTGGGAACATTAGGAGTGGGTAGGTAACAGTGCGATTGACTTATGATTACAGAGGACTTCAGGTTATCATCATGATGGTTAAATATTGAAGATGGCAACTAATAATTAGCTAGCTTTATTTGTGCAGCTAGGGTAGTCTTTGTTATTAGAATTATGTTTTGAGTGACTCGGCTTGGAAACCATGGTACATAATTATTGAAATTTTAAATTCTTGTAGTTAAAATGAAGACACAATCACAGGGGAGACTTTGATTTGGTATCTTTTAATTTAAACATCTGCCTTTGTAATAAATAATTATTCAAGAAAGCAGCTAAGGGATATTTTAGTGTGTTAAAACAGCATATAGAATAGTATACAGTTAATATATTATGGGTTGGAACCTTTTGTGTACCTTCCAAGTTAGTTTAAGATTTAAACATTTTAATTTGTTTTTTCAGCGGATTACTTAAGAGTTATTGAAAGACTGAAGCAAGTCATAAAGCTTGCAGGAAAAAAGGTAAGTAATTCTTGAGTGAATAAACAATTTAAGAAAAGTCCTCTGCCTGGGATGTACATTGAGCAAAGGAAAAACCATATGATATATTAACATTTATTGGTCTGGAGTTGCAGATATATAGGGGATATAATTTGAAAAACTCAATGGCAAATTCTCACAGCTGAAATTAAAAGCATTGTGTTGAAGATGGTTACTAGATAATTGACATTTATATATTGGAAGAGAAAGGGTCCATTTATTTTTCTGATATTTTTTAACTTATAGTGACCAGAGGGTCTTGTTATTTATTCTGGGTGGGATGCCTGTTCATCACAGGGTATCCAGGTTTCCTAGACAGTTTACTGGTACAGTGGGACTGATTTCATCTTACCCAAGAACACCATACAGCAAAAATGAACCTAACACCCTGGCTTACAAGTTTCAACCTGTCAGTCTACAGCCCAGAGTCCTATCAATTCAGTCATCACATAGCCATTCCTTTTTTCAGAATCATAACATTGTTTACAATTATAAACAAGCATAATTAGAGTGGTGAAAATGATAATGCTCTATTTTATTTCAGTCCTATTTGTTTGTCATGGGAAAGCTTAATGTGGCAAAAATGGCCAACTTTATGGAGGTGGATGTGTTTGTGTTGGTGGCATGCCCTGAAAACACCCTGATTGACTCCCAGGTACAGCAAAAATTATTGATCCTCTTCTTTCAGTCCTCAAGTCTTTCAAAACTGCTAGAGTAATTAAAATTTTCAGTATTTCTTGTTAAATTTGTATCATTATTATGCCTTACAGGAGTTTTATAAACCAATAGTTACTCCTTTTGAAATGGAATTAGCCTGTTTGAGGTATGACAAGATTTAAGCCTTTACTTCATTATACAGATGATAGGCTCAGCCTTCAGGAAGTAATGTGCATTGTAAAAATACAGATGGTATGACATGTTTCTCATCCACAGGACTCGGGAGTGGACTGGAGACTATATAACAGACTTTAGGGAACTATTACCAGGTTTGTGTTTGAAACTTAGAATCTGGTTTCAACTTAAACTTCAAGTGCTTTAATTTCTATATTTAACACAAACAATGAACTGATCTTCGGTCTAAGATTGTACCAACAACATCTACATATCACTAATGAAAGATAGTACCTCTTTTCTTTGCAAAGTGATATCTTGAATTTAAATTTGACTTGGACGTCAGTCAAGATAGCTTGAGATTTGTGGGAGTGAGATTTTATTTTTTTATCTCAAGACACCACAATTTTATCATAATTAGGAAGGTTTTTGTGGTTGGCAATCCTTAGTCAGGAGTATTTGATTTATAGTCGCGCAAAAATAGTGGGCAATTTTCCTTCTAGCTTGCAAAAATATTCATCGTTAGCACTGCAAGTTACTGAAAGATATTGCATCGCAACATCTGGTGCATGTTTAAGAGAAGAGGGTAATTCTTCTTTAATTGTCAAGGAAAAAACCCTTCATTTGGTAACTTACAAAATAGCACGTGGAGGTTTGCAAGTTGCAAGCAAAATTATTCCTTGCTACCGGAGATGATCGGAAAGTTTTTTTTATTATTTACAAAAACAGGAGCCAGTGCTTCAGTTGAACTAGATGTAGAAGAGGTAAGCAAGACCCTCAATTGTCTTATAAAGTGGTATCGCATAAATCGGCAACTGCTTCGGGTTTGCTTTACTTCACTCTGTGATTGGTCGAGAAAAGAGAATTCTAACCACACTCTCAACTAGTGAATAACAAGACTGAAACCAATCGCGACTTAATGACTCGCATTTTCCTGGGTTTCAAACAGTTTTTCTTGGCTAATTATCATGATCAGTGCAGTTTGCGTTGGCTAATGATGATGATAACCTTTTCTCTAAATGGCCGTAGTGATTACTTTGGTTTTGGTGTTTCTACCCCGAGTTGAAAATTGTTCAAAGTGCAAACTGGGAAATCATATACTGTTAGAAATAATCTCCTAACACTCGTTATTTTGTTGTCTCTTTCTTTATTCACTCTCACTACTCAAGTTATTACAACGGGGAATAGCTCCGATCTCTCTAGGAAAGTGAGGGTCACCGCTTATAAAGGCGACACCTACGGAGCTGTCAATCTCTAACCTTCGTCATGCTTTCACACTTAACCAGCGAATCACGCTAAGCTACGCAGAGGGGTTCGCATACTAAGTAGATACTTTTGCGATGTTTTCGCTTTACGAAATGTCCTTCTAACTTAAATCTCTTGGTCTTACGGTCAAGTTCGGGTAAAAAAAAAACAAGATTGACAAAATAAAAATTATAATAAACTCACGAACAGAATTAAAATCATACTTGAAAAGATATCTTAAGAGAAAATAGTCCTTGAGGGCTGTTGCATAACAGCAGAATAAACACAAAGTTCGAAGGAGAAAGGTCGTACCCAAGGTACCGCCCCTAGAAGAGCTACGTGCTAGCCGTATAAGTTATCTGATTACAAATTCAGTTCTGAAGATGAAAAGTACTACATGTTTACACCTAAAGTCACCTGTAAGTAAAAGAGAGGTGTCGAGCGCGCTAAATTATACCTGTAAGATAAGACCGCTAAAAGGAATAAGAAATGTTTAACTGGCTTATTATTACCGAGTGGTTTGTGCTATTATATCATTTTCATTTATTTTCACGTTCAAATAAGTCAAAAATCACTAATAATGAAAATTCTTGCTAGATGCCAATTTTGTCTTTTAACAATACTACGAAGAGTCTCTTTTTCTCAGTATGTGCTGGTCCATAGAAATCGGCGAAAAAATATCAGGCAGTTTGACCCTAGCGCCTTGTGAATTCTGGGATGTGAGGTACCTTTCTTCCCATGCTAGAAGACAGACTGGTTGTTGTCCATTTGAGGATTTTTTCGAGAAACAAAATCAAAAACAAAAACAAATTGAAGACAGGCAACCAGCCTCAAGCGCTGAATGTGCGAGTAATAAGTCTTTAATCCGATTGGCTGAGGAGATGGTGCAATTTTTTCAACCAATTATAGAGCATATTGAGGCAGATCGTAAGCCATTATGGACAATCTTGAACAATTACTCACGAGTTGGTTTACTCCACAGAATATGGATGAATCCAGTGAGATCCCAGATGTCTCCCTAGTAACTGGACATCTGAGACCCACTTATCGTTCATCAGAAGTGGACAGAGGTGTGTTTGTCGGCTATTAACTAAAGACCCACCGATAGAAAACTTTCAAGCAGAAGGGTCAATATGGGGACTTACAATCTTCGACATCTTTAGAACATCTTACTCGTTAATGTTTTTTTGAATACAGCCAAGGTGCTGATATTATTTATGATTCGGACTGTTCAGAGGATGCAAAGTTAAGTTTCATTTTAAATGATTATTATTAGGGAATTCTTCAAGGTCACTGGTTGAAAGGAATCAGGAAACAAGTTTGTCAACTCAACACCACAGTTCTGCAGGTTGGACTTGATTCTCGTCGTTAATGAGATGTTAACAATTTCTCTAGGAGCCTTCAATTCTTTTCTTATTTCCCTCCTATTATAATATTTTGTTGATTGGTCTTAAGAGAGAATTAGGGCATCTTCTTTTCTAGCCTACAAAATGGGTGTCTTTTGTGTTTTTAGGCCAGCGGAGATCAGGGCGCAAACGAGGAGAGTGGGAATCGCGCGTGGGAGTAGCGACTTCCTCCACTCACTCGTAACTCGCGATTCGTGCTCTCCTAGCTGATGTGATATGGTGCTAAACCAGCTCCAGCTACACGTCTCCACAGCACCAATGTTTTACAAAGATTTGTAGCGATTAAGAATGGAAATAATTTTCATTGATTGGTAAAAAGAATATGGAAAACAATTATCCATCATGTATTGTAAAGTAATGTGTCATTAATCAGAAACTGATCCTTGCTAAAATCTCTGATTTAGCGGAGTACCTTGCATCAAGATCGTGGAGGGGACTAGAACAGAGGCTTGGTGAAACTCCTGTTACACAAGCAGTGGAAGGAAGGACGGGCATTGCAGCGGGGTACTTACATGAGAAGGGCCAAGATCAAGGCAGTCAGAAGGAACCCGTCCTGTGACTGACCAGTCCTTAAAGTACAAACCTATTAGGACACTATTCGCTTCTGTTCGTGACGATTACCAGCTTCTTCATCCGGAATGTGGAGCAAAAATCATATTATATTCTAATCACCTCGAAACGATTATAAAATATTTTGTAACAAATCTTAATAAACACAAACACAGCATCAGGAGCGGGTATCTCGTTTATTGATGCAGGATACAGCGAGCGTTACATCATAAAGAAAATACAGTAATGAATGAACACAAGAGCAAAGTTGAAAGGGATACCTTCGAGTGGCTCTTGCATAACTTACAAAATCTTAAATAGCTTAGTAGCCCCAGTGGATTCATCATGCCTACAAGCACGCCTAAAATGCTTCTACAGTTAACACAAATCATTCATGAGGAACATACTTCAGTGTCAGTAGCAAAACGTTACAAAATTTATCAGCTCTACAACCTGTTAAACGCTAATTGAGCGTCGACCAGACAATGGCCCTGTGATTTCCATTAAGTTTATTCCACGGAGAAATTTGGGCTTTGGAATGAGGCTAGCCCTGACTGCTTCAAGTTTTCGAAAGAAAAAATTGAAAAAAAAGAAGAACCAACCAGTGTAGAAACTGAGTTTGGTAAAAAAGAAAAATGAAATGGAAGAATGAAAATAGGGGTTGATTTTAGTTTTTGGCCCCCCCAAAGAGAGGGTATGTGGAGGCGCGGTGGCCTCATGGTCAGTGCGCTCGACTCCGGATCGGGTGGTCCGGGTTCGAGCCCTGGCCGAGGTCATTGTGTTGTGTTCTTAGGCAAGACACTTTACTCTCACAGCGCTTCTCTTCACCCAGGTGTACAAATGGGAACCAGCAAATGTGCTGGGGGTAACCCTGCGATGGACTAGCATCCCATCCAGGGGGGAGTAGCAATACTCCTTGCTGCTTCATGCTAAGAAAACCGGAGTTAAGCACCGGCCCCATGGGCCACTTGGGCCCGTATAAAGGCTTTTTTTAAAGGGAGGGTATAGCAAAAAAAAAAGAAAGAGAGAGAGAGAGGGTATCGATAAGGCATTGTTTTATAACAATCGAACTTAGTTACTTTGTTCTAACAGACCATAGCACTTTGTTACAAAAAATAGAAGATGTCATTAATTACACAACTGGTGAAGAGCCCCGATTTGTGTGATATTTACAAATTCCACGCCATAAGAGCGTCCCACCATTACGTAGAACCCTAAAAGACGGATAGCAGCTGATTTCCAAAACAAACGCTCGTTGCAACGGACGTTTTCTATTGCGGGTACTCTCATGCAGTCTCGACCTCTTCCGCATAGATGGAGTTTATAACTGCATTTCGACAAGAAGATCTTGAAGCCGAATCAATGCAGATGGTATTTTTGTTGAGGGACACGTTATTTACACTGTCATTTTCACTAATACCACTATTACTATGATCATTATCATTCTCTATCTCACCACTATCACTTTTGTTATCATTGTTATTGTCATTATCATTTCCATTATTATTGTCATTATTTTTATGTATGTATACATATATATATATATAATTGTTATTACAATTATAATAATAATAATAATAATAATAATAATAATATTATTATTATTATTATTATTATTATTATTTGCCATTCATCTGAGATATGATCGGCATATAAGCGACACCCCGTCTACTTATGCGTATGGATATTTTTTTGATGTAGATCACGCCATGGTATGCAGACGTGGGGGCTTCATTATTCAAAGATATAAAGAGTTGCGTGATTTAGAAGCCGAAATGCTAAAGATGGTGTGCAATGATGTCCAAATTGAACCGGTACTTCAGGAGATAAACGGAGAAGTGCTGACACCTGGTACGAACAGAGCAGCGGATGCCCAGCTCGACAAGGCTCCGCCTTTTTTGATGTCAGGATGTGTTACCCGAATGCAAAGTCTCATGGAGTCCTTTGAACTTTTATCAACCAAGAAGGGAGAGAATTACAGTACTACAATGTCATGGATTCGCACTTAAGTTTCATTCGCCCTCCTGAGGTCTGCGCTGCTATGCATGAGAGGCTCACGATGTACGCGAAGAGCTCCGCTGAGCATTACAGAAAATGATTTTGAAATTGATTAGGAGCTAGCGAGATTTTAGGATTACAGCGTTTAATATACCTCACATCTAAGATTAGTAGGGGTTTTGGAATCGGTAGCGAACTAGCAAGATTTTATTATTTATTTTTATTATCTTATCCTTCTTTAAAGTTCAAGAAGTAAACGTAAACGAAGCGTGTATTCGTCAGTTTTTCATAGATTTTTACAAGACATTTTAATGTATTTTTCGATTTTTTAAGGATTTTATCATAATAATAGAAAATGTTTTTAGTGATTAAAGTTTTTTTTAAAATTATCATCATTATTATTATTACTATTATTGTAAGTATAATTATAATTATCGATACAAGTTGCAAGTGTGACAAATGTTCTTGGAAAAAAGAATTCAGCATCTTGTGATGATCGTTGGTCTACGCAATTTGTAACAAAATCTTGACGCAAATTGTGACTATCTCAACTTTGCCGCAAAACATGCAGTGCTTGGTAAAAGCAATGCAAACGAATATCGTCAAATATCGCGCTTTGTTCTTCTGATATGTCGGTGTGATCGGTGAGGGAAACCACAAATACACACCTTGTAGAATAATGCTGCGTTGCAAGAGTCAAGAAACATATTTCAATTTGCTGCAGGATGTTTGTACTGCGGCACCATATAATAACGACGCATTTTACGATAATCTATGCATAATTACAATGGTTGCGGCACTTGATAAATAAACCCTTCAGGCGGCTGGTTCGTTAGCTTATAATGTCCGCAGCTGAGAATTGTTCGAAATATGAATATTTGGCCGAGAAGCGAAGCTTCGAGGGCAAATGAGAGATTTATTTATTATCAAACCTTATATTTATTTTCGTAACGTGCGTTGAAAGCAAATTTTTTCATAAATGTAATTGACTTTTTTTATATTCTCCTTAGCTGCGTGTGAGAACATATTTTTAATGTCAAAAGTAGTTCGTTTGTCTTCATGTAAAGTAATAAAGATGAAAAAGTGAAACTATTGAGCTGGCTTTATTCCGTTGGCTTAGTTTCTTTTCGACGGAAATAATTGGAGGACGAATTTCGGCGTAGACGGAGGTTATTGCGTGATAACCATCCGGTGATTTTGCAACAAGCAACGTAAATAGAACCGCGCGAAAATTAGTGGGTGGGTTATAGCTTGTACTAGCTTGTTGAAAAGTGCGACATGCGGAACACTGAGAACTCGACGATAACCTACACTGGGCGGGAAAATATAATGTTTTTCAGTGGACGTTATTTGATTCTAGAGGTGACGGTTTCCGAAAGAGAAGCTCGAGGAAATCTTTGTGACCCTTTGTGCCTCTAGGAACGGAGGATAAAGTCTAATGCAAATGTACAAGTCTAATAACTTAATATTTATTTAGCACACAGGACGAAAGCGTTTACAAACAGGATGTTCGCTTTAAAACGTTCCCTTGAGCGACTTCTCTAAAATTACTCTCTTCCTTCCTGCTATTTGCAGAAAGCTTTCCCATCTCAATTTAGACTTGAGACAAATCTCAAAATTTTCCTTGAGCTGTCCGAAGACTGTTCGCGCACAAATCATGATTCGAGCCGAAACTCTTTTGCTAGATGGAGGCTGTATTGTCGCACCTGACAATTTTGGTTGGTTATGTCGCCGTAGAGGTGTAAATTGAAATGCGACCACCTGTTTACTGACACCGGCTAGTCTGACAATACGCTAATGGTCCTTTGACACAGTTTAAGGTTAAGTTTCCTTAGATAGAATTCTACTAATAGTTTAATTGAACCTAGAGTACAAAAGTTCTGAGTTACACACACATATTACAAGGTTTTTTACTCTCAAGAGTCATTCGTAATATTAAGAAAAAAATTTGTAATAACGTCTTCTTTTTGTTAAGGTTTTAATATATATGTTGGTTTTTACATTATACGTGACCGAGAGAAATGCTTTTTATTTTAAAGTAAGAAAATTTAAGGCGACGGAATAATAGCAGAAATCAAATTCTGTTTTAGTTATAAAGAGTTATAACATCGCCCTATAAAGGTGCAAAACTGCAACAAACAGTAGGGTTAGAGAGTTCAGTTTTTTCGTTAAATTTAGACTGTAGTTATGTGTTATTACATAGTGTGTTTCCCTGAAAAATCTTCGTCTACAATTTTGTATCCAGAACGTCCACAAAATCGTTGGATAATACTGAGAAGATTGAGAAAGCCCTGTCTCTTCCAACACTAACATACGTATCTCCACGCATTGTTTTTCTTTTGTAGAAATTTGCGATGAGTGCTTGTCTGAACTCGTGAATTCTTACAAAATACGTTACCGGATTTACAAAGCAACTTGAAATATTCAAAAACACTGCCGTAAAATAAATGTTCTTATTCACAGAATAATTAACAGTTTGGAAGATGTTTAAAATAATTATTGGGAGCCACGACAGCAAAGCAAGCAGCGATATCAACAACAATGTCTTCGTCAACTGTCTTTTCTGTGATGATCTCGCATTCTGAGTAAAACGTCTTTTCTGGAACTTTCTCCAAACACCGATGTTACAACCACATATTATGGTTATCAAACTGGCGGTGAATTGCACCCAGAGCCAGGAATAAGCTTCTCTAGACACCAAAATCCTTAGTAGAGAAAGAATTGCTGTACTTAGGAGAACTAAGGCCCATGCTGAATAACACACGCTACGATATGATTTCAAGGATACCACTCTGTGTCGTAATGGCCAATACGTGGCGAAAACTCTCTCACCGGAGATGAAAGCTGCAAAAATAATTGAGGCTTGCGAGTAAAAGATGGTGGAAACGCCACGAAAAATTGTGAAAGTGCTTGTCATTCCCTCTAGCCTTTGCTCATACGTTTTCCAGACCACTGAGTAAATAAAGACAGGAAGAGATACAGCTCCTAACATCAGATCAGCGCTGGCCATGTTAATGAGAAGAACGAAGTGTTTTTTCTGAAGTCTTTTATTGATGGTAAAGAGAGCAATAGTAAGAAGATTTCCCGTAATAATGATGGCAGATGAAACTGTAAAGGCACAACACCACACAATAGCTTCTCGTTTAGACAGAACAGTGTTTAATGGCGCAAGTGCCGACGATGCGTTGTTCGAAAGGTTTTTCATTTCCGATTTTTCGCCGGTTTTCACGAAATTCGCTCCATACTTCAGTGAACCAGCTCTGTGGTCGCCTGTTATGACTTGATCACGTAGCGGAAGACTTAACGAACACGTATAATGATGGAATATGGAAGTCTGTTGGTTGACTCAAATGCAGTATCTATTACTGTTGACAGAACTAACTACACAGTACTGTGTAGTATAAATGAACCACTCCATAAGTACATTGCATTAATTTGCTAAATTTCGCTGATACGCTTCCGAGTTAAGATTAAAACTGATTATCAGAAAGATATGGAATGGGAACCGTTTACCATAACTTACCCTAAGATTGACAAGATATATACAATTTCGTTAAATTAAAAATTCGCAATTATAATATTTGTTTTGTCCTAATTTTCTGTGGAACTGAAGGATGTCTTAATAGCTAATACTTATCGACAAGCTTCTGTTTGGCCAGATCTCCAAACAAATCCGTCAGTTTGACATTTCTGCTGTCCATATCAGCTAATTTGTGCAAATTAAAGACTTAGATCTCCTGTTTGGAGTCCTCTAAGCTTAGATCCGTTAAGGTGATTTGCGTTTTAATCGTAAAAGAGGATGATGTTTAGTCCCACGAAACTGTTTCAAGTGGTTTTTTTTCAACAGGATAAAAACTGATCCATGTAATATTAGTTCAAAACTTGGTTCAATGTCATTATCTGAGCAATTGCGCACTCACTCCTCCCCTAACCCAACAATAGTCAACTGATAACAACTGAGGTTTGATATTGGCTTGGGAGAAGGGGGGTGGGGAAGGTGTGCAGTTACTCAGATGATAACATTGATCCCAAAATTTGATATTCTTCCAAATATTCTTGGTTTCCTATACCCTTTCATTCTAGCCTGCGTGTAGCCGTACCATCCCTCCAAAGAAGTATTTTCCGTTTCTCCTTGGCGGGGGGAAGGTAAGGCTTTACGTAGGCTCTTCATTAAAAACAAGATGGCGATTCGAATCCTAGCGTTTGGTAATAGTTTGACGGAAGGTTGGTGCGAATTTGGGACTAGATTCCATCCTTATGCCCTTAAACTGCAAAATCTTATGGAATCCGAGTGCAAGACAGAATCTATTGATATTGTAAACAAGGGCGTGAGCGGTGAAACCACTGACGAAATGAACGCTCGACTTCCTGAGGTTTTGGACGAGGGTGGCCCGTTCGACATAGTGATCATCCTGGGAGGCACAAACGACCTTGGCATGCGTCTTGATGAGGACGGAGAGCCTTTATTCAGTCGTTTGAGATCGCTGCACGAGCTAGCTCTCCTTACTGTCAGCCATACAATTCTTATAATGTTAGGTCAGAGAATTTAGTATTGGATCAACTAATTATCCCCAAATTGATATTTTTCTTTATTCTCATCACTTGTTTGGTCGATATTGTATTGATATTTTGAGGAGAAATTCTGTCTTGGTCACACACGGGAGTTAAAGGGTTAATAAGCTCATAATAGCTTTTAGGCCTTTCCTTCCATAATAGGCCTTTTGATTTTTGAATATCAGCTGGCTGTGTAGAGCAAGGAAAATTTAGGAAGGGGAGAGGGGTCAGTGGGCCTCTATCAGAGTGGCCAGGGGAAAGTTAGACAGATGGGCATAATTCACTTGATGCTAGAAAAAGATATCCTGTGTGATACTAGGAAGGATCAAACTTGTCTCAGACAACTTATTCTACCATAAGGTTTATAATATAACTCAGCTGTGTCCAATTCAGTCTGGTATCATCAAAGTTAATAAAACAAAATTAGGCAAACATGATGCAGGTGTAATGCCAAGTTCTCAGCAACTTTTGAAGAGCCAAAAGGTCACTTGTCAACAACTTGTTGCGTTGAGCTTTGCGTGCGGGAAATATGTAATGATCAAATAAGGCCAGAGATCATGGAAAATCAGCTGTTATTAACCATGATTTATTGAGGATAATCAAATGAAAATTTATATGTAATGCAGTGGATCAACTAATTACTAAATGAAAACAGATACAAGATAACAGAAATCACGAATCAATACCAGCTATAAAATTCTTAAGGCCATAAGATTGCAGGAGATTCAAGGCTACAGAAAAACAAAATGGAACCTTTGAAAAACTGGGTGCTGCCACATGGAGCCATGTACTTGACTTGTAATGATACTTTGTAAGTTGGTTGGTTAAAAAATGCAACTTAAGGAACAAATGCTATAAGTTCAAACTTTTGCTTAAGAATAGGGGTAGAAATAGCCAGTACTTACATATCAGTTCCTGTTTGTACTCTTAATAGCTAATAGCTATTAATAGCTTAAACTTAATTTACCAAAAAAAACTTATGCTAGCTCTGTAAAGCTGAAACTAGAACCACTGAGAGAAGGCTGCTAACAGCATTTATATATATGTCTATGTGTTAAAACTTATGGCATAATTGCTAAGTAAACAAAATTGACAAATTGGCTAAGAGGATGAAGTAGAGTCATTGAAATAGAGAAGCCTCTATTTAATATTTATTACAGCAAGAATTTGAGTTTTAATCATTAGTTGTAGTGTGACCTTCAAGAATGTTCTAGAAGTAGCTGTGTCATGCTGTGTCATCCCCAAATCAATATATAAATAGAATTTGCTGTAATGTTATGGAACGTTCTAGATCCTCAACTGTACCTATAAAAGCCAAGCTTGTAACTAGATGTAGCAAGTAGTTTAGTTGCTGGTATAGTCCATCAGATATCAATAAAGGTGTATGCTGCAGAATACAAGATGTCCACACTTCATAGTCTGATGACAGAAAGAATTAAACAGCACAAAGGCCTGTTATTAATTTATCCAAACTGTTGTTGGGACATAATTAGAGAAGAAAAAAATAAATTGTCTTATACATAATCTAATTACAAGATTGACATCTACACAGTCCTACAAGTGCTCAAATTGGGTTGCTGAAAACCAATCACAAGCAAGAATTTTGTATAAATTTTGACTAATAGTGAAACAATATCTGGCTGCACTACCCATGGCACAGTTCAACTTTTCTTTTTGTTCTAACCCCTATACCTCCTGTGCATTCATTGTGTTCTTTTACCTACTAATTTACAAAGCCACATGTAAGAGGTTAGGTAAGTTTTCATTATCATTACTTCTTGTTTTTCACATCCCCAATGACTGGGGATTTACTGTTAAATCACATATTATCCACCTGGTTGATAATTTTCTTACTTCTCATCACCTTTCTGCTGATTACTGTTTTGACATTGTAAGGAGAAATTCATGCTTGGTCAATTATGGAGGTGAAAGGTTGATTTTATTTGACCAGTGGCTGATAAGTGAATTCCCAGACAGAAAATCCTGAAAAAAAAATTCAGGCCCTAACAGAGCTAGGATATTTTCTCCCAGGTGAGTGCTGCTACCAATGTTGGGTATGAAGGGTTTAAAGACTGAAAAACTCAAAGATTCGATTTTTTAAAAATAAAGCACAGACCAACAGGATAAACTTAAGGATGATAGTTTTAAAAGCCACCAGCCACAGGTCAGTTACTTGCAAAATTTTACTGCAGCTGTAAGTTTTTTGAAATATTCCATGTGATACAATTGGTTACATAACTGAAACATTACAAAATTTTTAGAAATGAAAAGAACATTTTTTTTGTTTGTAAAGAATTGAAGTTGTTGACTTTTTGCTTAATTTTTTAGTACTCAACCAGCAGTAACAACTCATGATATTATTAAGCTTTCGAATGTGGTATAATGACAGGTATGATTACATTTTGTTCAAGTGCTAAAAATCAGCCTTCTTGACTTTTTTTTTTGTAAGTAAAAATTCTATTGTTTTTAAACCTGTTGTAGAGGTCAGAAAGGCTAATTAACATCAAATTTTTAAGAATGTTAATTAAGCATGCCAGTTATGAAAGAGGTCTATTAAGAGTAAGAACCATACTAAGCTCACAAACCCACTGAAAGTTCAGAAAAATATTAAGTTTTAATAAGCAAGTAAAATGAGCACAACAATTAGAGTATCTGAAAATAGTCTTGAGATCAAACTTGAGGGGGAGGGTCTAAATCTCTTCCCTCCCCCCCTTTCCTACAGTTCTTAAATTTTGTCAGAGACTGTGGCACTGAATTGCTGTCCTAATTAAGGGGAAGCAGGGAAAGGAGTACTGGGTTGTTTATGTTTTTTCTATGGGTGTCTAACCCTAATCTTTACCTCCATAGAAACACTGGTTGAAGACAATATATTGAAAAGGAGAGTTATGGTGTAATCTCATGAAAAAAAATTACTTAAAGCACCTATTTCAATGCGCAATCATTCTGCACAGAATGTTTCTTTAAGCTCTTTTGACATCATGAAAAACATTTGGCCAAATCCACATTATACCCCTTTGAATACAGAGTGTAAGTAAACAACATCACTTTTCATGCATAAGTTGCTCTTACTTGTTCCTTGCATTTCTCTACCAATGGGTATGGACAATAACCAATATTGAATTGATGTGAAATAATCTTTTCTGGGTCTGATGATGACTTTCACCAAGGTTTTCAAAACTACAGTCACCACTCCTGACAACAGTCCTCATCAGGACTACCTTCACCAAGACAGTCAGAATAAATAATCAAATCTTTCTTGGTTCTTCAAATTCATTCAAGTATATTTAACCCTTCAACTCTCATGAGTGACCCGGCTTACAATAACAATCCAATATCCAGTAGACAAGTGACAAGAAAATAGAAAAATATCAATTAGGGGGAGTATTAGTTAATCAAGTAGCAAGTTCTATGAGCTAACATAAAAAAATTGTAAGGCAGACAGCAAGCTGAATTGCATGTGCTAACGAGATCTTGGAAGTAACAGGGTTAAAAACATTTTTCCCAAAATACTATTGGAAAGGGGAGAAAGACAGTCATAAAGTTCTCAGTCAGGATTCTGGTGGCACAGGAGATGGAGTCTGGCCAGGTGTAGCAGATGTTGGCCTGACTTTGGGTCTTGGAGCTCGGCTTAGTACTGCAGAGATTTCAGCTCTTTCATCGTAACTCTTATACAGTTCATACAGCTGCAAGATTTCCTGTGTGATTTCCAGTACTTTGTCCATATCAACAGATAGCTCCGCAAACCACTGCTTGGAATCTTTCTGTTGAATGACACAAGCCATATAAATGGCAGCCAATGCAATCTGGTAAGGGGGATAGATGAGAGAGACATCTGTTCGCAAACTATCATTCAAAATGCGCCATGCAATTGGCAGGATTGCATCTTCCATCCCAAGATCAGCAACATACTGAGTAAGAGGTCTGTAAGGATGGTACACAATCAAACAACAGTCCATCATCTCAAGCAAGAAAAATTCACACTCAAGAACCTGCAAGCAAACAAATGAAATCAGTAAAGAGATTCTGCTTGACCAAATTACATTTGCAATCTCTGGAAGATATATATGTCATTTCCTGGGTGGGAGGTTTGTATACTGAAAAAACTGTGCCTGAGGTCTTGGGTAGAACCTAAGGCTTATTGCCATACTAGAGACCAAGGTCGCAGTTTTTTCCCATGTGGATTGACCTAGTCCAGGGAATAACTTATTTTATTCTTTCTTATTTTCTTTTTCCTGCATTACCAGGAATGGCATGGAAACAATTACAGACCCCAGTTTGTACTGTGATAAGTTGGACTGGTTATGGGCACCACTATCAGAATTGGGATTTAACATTCTGGCTCCCAGAGATGCTTCAGGAAAAAGTTTTAACAGATGAAACATTTTTAAAAGGAAAACAAAGATAAGGATATCAAGTATTTTTAAGGGAAGTGGGAACACTTTTCAAGTAACAAATTTTAGTATAAATAATGGTCTTTGCATATTATGCCTCTTGTAAAACTGCCAAATGCAACCCCTCTTGCCCAAATGTTTCTCAATTTACAGTTTCAAGAAAAAAAATTACCAAAGAGGTTATCTCTTTTGCTTTTACTCTTGTTGCTAAACTTATTCCTCTCATATATCTATTTTTAAGACCACCATGTTTTTGTTTCAAACACAAAACAGGAGTTAGGGTGGGTTTTGGATGATATCCACACCAATGTGTTTCCTTACTTGTTGTCCACAACTAGTGAATTTGACATTAGTCACTCCCACTGTAACAGCCACATACATGAACTGTTTAAACAGATTAGATCGATGAATATTCTCATCATTTTTTTGGGCATTAGGGCAGATTTTGCAGGCTACAATGGATATTTTAGCAGGCTACAATGTATTGTATCTACCTTGCATGCTTGTATTATTGTTCAGATTGTTTTGTGCCATTTTTTCAGTTTATTTTCTCAATGCCCCCCAGAGTGATGATAACAGAATTTCAGTTAATAACCCTTTAACTCTCATGATCTGATTTTTTATTCTCCCCTCTAGCTGCAACACATTTCCTTGTTAATAAGTTATAAGAATTTGGTGCTAGATCAAGATAACAACTTCTAGTTGATAAGTTTGGATGATGTTTAGATACTATTGGAGGAAATTACATGTTAATCACTTCTGGGAGTTAAAGGGTTATTATTCTTGGACATAAATATGTTTTGGGGCCCTCTTAGAGCCATTTTAACTGCTGAAATAACTCTAAGTTAGATCCATAACATGTTCATGCCTGCAAACGTTCTTCTTTGCCTTTCCTTGCAGCTTGTTCTGTTGATAAATGGTGACTTCTTTCACAATAAAACTTAAATGTCTTTTACTGATAAATGATCTGTTCTCGGAATACGAGATAGCATTCAATGTTTCTTCTTGCTGAAAAATACGTTTAAACCTATCTTATGTACTTTATTTAACCAATATATAGAGTGGGTATAGATTATCTTGTATTCGGTGTAGTTCAGTAAGCATCTTTTCATGCAGGGATGATTAATAGGATCGTTTGTGCCTAAACTTAAAAAGTGAAGCATACACGAAGTTACAGCTCATCAAGATGGAAAGATAGGATGAAAACATACTCTACCTGCGTCATCCTGTACGGAAACTGATCCCCAGGAAAAGCGAAGGAGAATTTGTTCTTCACAACGGCGTTACAAGCTGCATTGAAACGACTGTTAGATATCACACCACACTCCTCCGTCTTGTGAGCTAAGTACATGCACGTCGGAGCCATAAGAAGCGGATCAATACTCTTCAAAGAATTTCTGGCATAAAATCTTTTGTAGTACAAAGAGGCAGTTGCAATTACTTGTTGTCGTAGCTTCAAATGTTCGCCTAAAGCTTGCATAAAGTTGATAAAAAAGATTTGTATCTTCTTGTAGTCGTCATCTTTAAGGTTTTGGTAGTCTCGTTGCCTTTCTAGTTCGATTTCTTCACGATCAAGGAGCCATTGATTGCAGTGCGAAGAAAGCCAAAAGTTCGCCGCCATTTTGGATGAAATAATTAGTTACCAGTTGTATGGAGGTGCGCGGTTTTAAAAATGGTAAATATTCACGGAAGGGGGAGGGGGGGGGTTGATGAAGAGAGGGGCTTTTTCTTAAAACTCCCGGTTATTACTGCCCCCGAAACCCTAACGGTTGAAATATCCCTTCCTTTCCCATCATGAGGGAAATTTAATTTATCGAAAAAAATAAACTGGTTGCCTCTGTGCTTTTTCCTTGAGCCTGTATGAAAAGGACCGAGAAAATTGGACAACGAACGGCTTCGCGTCCACTCAGATGGGTTTCACAGTGTTTCATTCATAGTTACATATTGCGGGAAAAAACCAAGTCTAACAATAATTTTGTATTTTACCTCTTCATTCGAAGAAAGAGATCGAAGAGGGGATACAGGTTCATTCATTATCGCACTAGACTCAAAATCGATCTCACCAATAATCTTAACCGTATTTCATCAATCATTAGAGTTTTTCGCAGTGGATTTGTAAGGAGGGAGTTTCCTTTCAATGTTTTTCAGTTAAACAATATCTTCGTATCTACGAACGATGGAAAGTGGCACAATCCGCGCACCGTGGGAAGAAACAACGGCCAGGATGGTTCTCTGAAGGGTAATGGTGCAGGATTAGCTAAAAGTAGGTTGCTCCCAGAAAATATCGATCATCAAACTAAATTATGAACTTTGGATGTTGGGCAGGTTAGGTTATGTTCACAAATATTTTTCTACCAAACTTGTATATTTTCAGATTTAACGCTTTCCATACTACAACTTTATTTACATTGCGGGCCTGGCACAGGCTAAAAGAGATCCTATTTTCAGAGAGTAAAGGAGTATCTTAGTATCACTAAGAACATGTCGAAAATATTACTCAAGCGTATGATCTTTTATTTGATATCAATCAAAACATTTAAAACGCAACGTACTTTTAATTTTAATCCCGGGAGACCAGAGACCTTGGTGTCAAAACCTTCTGGTTACCAATAAGCCTGGAGTGTAGAATTTGTTGGTGAACTCAATCTTAATTTTGGTGACGTTCGAGATGTTAAATGATGAAATATTTGAGATGCAAAGTTTGTTCTAATGGGTCGATAGGTGTGTTTAGATGAGAATGACAACGTTGGAAAATAACGTCGCGCTTTCTTGTTCCAAAAATTCCCTTCTGATCGATGATCGCCATGGGCTCATGTAATCGCTTGAACTATCCAAACATGAATGAAATCTCAATGTCAATATCCCGGTCTGTTGACACGGATTTTCTTGAAACCAATAAAACAATTACTAAGACCGCAAAGATGTATATTTGAATTTCAAATATCGGCATCACAATTTGTCAGCCCACATCTACTATGCTGTTGCTCGCTTTCTTCCCAGTTGTTCACAATGCAAATTTAGTTTTCTACTACTTCCCTTACTTCACTACTTGCTTGCAATTCGTAAGGTAATTTAATCGATGTATTAGCAAAGGTGAAACAGTGAGAGAGAAAGATAACAACAATACTGCTCCTACCATGGCTCGTCTTGTATTGTCTAATGCGTCGTCCTGTCGTACAACTTGCACAAACGAATGCTTTATTCCGATACCGACAGAGCAAGGCATTTCAGAAACAGTGTATATACTTAACAAATTCCTGCAACTTGTTCTTTTTTTCTCTTCTTGTAGTGTATTCAGTAGTGTGCTACAAAATCACATAATTGTAGACAACCGTCTCTGTACACATTTGAACACGTGTTATTATTTTTGTCAAAAATTAGCATGAGAAAGAAAACGTCAAACTGAAAAACTGGAAAACTCAACTAAAATTCAACTAAAAAAAAAACAAAAATAAAATAAAAAAGGAGAAGGAAAAAAAGGAAAGGAAGACGATAAATTGAAGTGCAACTGTATAAATGATGTTTAAATCACAAATACTCGCTCACTAAGAGTCCAGTTTATCAACTGATGGGCCGGTAATCAACCGTGTTACAAGTATCTTATAAAACGCAAAAAGCAACATTATCGTCGTACAGAAAAATAAACTTGTTTTATTTGCATTAATAAAAATGCATCGTGCTTAAAAAAAAATTGCTTTGATTTCTTTGATGACTCAGTCTTATCAGCAGACCTCAGCTCTTTCTGCCGCTATGTTGGCTACTAAATCGATTCGTTTTTATCTGCTCCTGATCTTTGTGGCTTCACCTCACATTTCCTCACCCACGCGAGTAAATAAGACTGTCTCGGATGGTAAAGTTTTCATCACTGGAGACCATAATGAAGTTGTTATGTCTTCCACCCGAGAAACGAAACTGGAATTGGCTAAAATCAAAAAGAAATTAAAGTTATTAAGCGAGTCGAATGAAGATTTGTCCAATTTACTTCACGCCATGAACTTGAGGCTAACAGGCTTGGAGAAACAAGGTAGGATTAGCTTTCTTTCTTGATACAGATGAGATTACTGAATGCCTTTACACTGTATTGGACTGCTCCTTACAACTTATAAACATTACCTTTTAAAAAAATACATTACCTGTGCGCTTCTCAGTCACCAAAATTTCTCCAATTTCGATTTAGAAAAGGGAGCAGAAATTTTTGTTTTTAGAATTAGTTTTGGTCAGACGATGCTTTTCATGGGCTATACTGAACTGCGTTAGTAATAGCGTGGAAACCTGTTACTCGAGTGTTAACTGCAAGCGTACGAGGCGAGGTAACTTAGTAAGTTGTACAGCACTCATAACTGTTATTATTTGTGCATCGTAAAAAATTGTTTCGCTTCCTTCAGCGGCCACTTGGGTGGTGATACTAAGCTTTTGACGCTTGAAAAAAATTTGTTTGTGGGGTTGCGTGGCATGCTCATAAAAAAAAAACCAACAACGACAACATTTCTTGGAACGTTGTTGTAATCGGAGACTCGCTCGACCAATGGTTTGAAAAAGGTGTAAGGTGATAGTTCTCCAGAAAACGTTAACAGTAATCTATAGAACTATAAACTTTCGTTTTTGAACTACCCTTGTGACTTGCATCAAATCAGTAGTTGCACCAAAAACAATTAAATCTAAAGACGAGAGCAGAACTTTTTTTAAAGAGGTCTCGAAAGCAGCGTTGACAAATTAAAAAACTGATTAATTCTACAGTTGCAGGGTACGCTCTGCAATTTCCACGAAAAGGAACCAGTGATTACGTCATCATTTCACGTGGTATGCCAAACCTGTCAGCTGTGACGTTTTGTCTGTGGATAAAAACCGCTGATACTAGAAATGCAGGAACACTCCTGAGCTATGCTGTATCGGGAAAAAGCAACGAGCTTCTCCTGACTGACTATAGAAATCTTGAGTTTTACATCAACGACCATGGGAGGTTTGAGTATTTCATCTGTAGTTTTGTCCTGCTATTAAATCACAACAGTTATTTTGATTTAATGTTGCTGTAAGCTTTAAAATACTCAAAGTACACTTCTCGCGTTTTGCTGCTAATTTTAGGGGTTCTACTTCTGTATCCGCCAATGATGGAAAGTGGCATCATATCTGCCTCACATGGGAGAATACCGCTGGATCATGGAAATTATTTCGAGATGGTTCGGTTGCCGCTTCTGGTAAAAGTTTCCAAACAGGTAAATTCTTCTTTTAGTAATGGTCCGTACAATAGTATTAATTGTTTAGTGTGTGTAACTGCTAATACACTTAATACAAGAGGCCGAAATGACGAAACTGCGTGGATTCCACAAAATTCAAAGATTGATTGAAATAAACGAAGTTTACGAAGAAGTGTACGTGGACTTAAAAGTAGTTTTTAGATAGACACTAACCGCAAATAATTACGTTGTGAACTAAACTGCTTTGTGCGGAGAAAAAACGATTAGTTAAAGTTCCCGCTTGAATGCTCTATATGTCGTTTGCAAGTAACGCTGAGAAAAACCACCGTAAGAAGCTGAAAAGGCGAAAGAAGACTAAGGATACTAGAGAAACCGAGAAAGGCGCCAAAAAAGGAAAATATATCAGAGGTAATGATCACTGGTGCCAAAAAATAAATACTTGAAAAACATGCAAAAACTTGATAAAAATGCACGTAACTGTGATGGTAAAATTACTTGATAAACGATTACAAAATTTATCACTTAAATGCTACAGTGTACGTTATGTTAGTCACTTAAGGATAAAGTGCGTAGTTCCCAAAGAGTAATGCGGAGGTTGGAACAAACAGAGCGACATGACTCGCTTATTCGGTAAATTATTGATTAAGAAAACGAAAAAAGGGAAAGAATGTACTCACTTTCCAGTCTTTTTTAACCGGTAAATTTATCTTTTTCCTTAATTTCCTGTTAATGTCCCCACAGGTCACATGATTCGTGCAAATGGAGCCCTGGTACTAGGGCAGGATCAAGACTCAAAGGGGGGAAAATTTGATGCCCGCCAATCTTTTATCGGTGAAATGACAGGTGTCAACATTTGGGATCACGTCATAAAAGACCAAGAAATCGCACGCATGTCAAAGTCGTGCCTGACCGAGGTGGGCAACGTGTTTCAGTGGCGCGAGTTCAAAGCTCACATCAAGGGCTCAGTGAAGATAATCAAGCCATCGTGCTGAAGTGAAAACATCCATGACGTGATTTGTAAACATTATGAAGGATGTTACATTAAAGATAAATTTTGACAGGTCTTTGTTGATAATCTGATGCGTGCCCGTATCTTTTCTTGACCATCCTACCAATGCTGGGACTAATTTTTTTCGGTCGGTGCAATTTTAAAATTGAATGTGGAAAGTAACTCGGGAATGTCTTGATTTGGTTTTCCCATCAACTGACGAGATGCAAAACTAAAACCATCCGCGCCTTTTATGTTCGTGTCAGTTTTTCCCTGTCATGGCCATGGCCATTTTTGCCAAGCTCCCTTGGATAAAATAATAAATAACTAGCTCAATTTTTTGTTATGAAAATAAGATTATTTAGACTGTAATTCTCTGTAAGATATTTCAATGATTTTAATTTTAATCACGCACCAAAGCACTGCTATCGTTGCATACATCAATGACAGCAATAGTATCGAGGTTAAAATTTTGACCCTTATCATGCACATGCGCAAGGTAACTCCTGGTGATCCTTGTTAGTGTGGACAGAAGACATTTTAATCGTTCTTTTGTTTTTTTAAATATGAACTGGAAACGTCTGCTACATTACGTTTCAATGTGTCGCCCTAATAACATGAATTAGCCTCAACATAGAGCTATTCGCTCTATGTTAAGTCATATTTTATGACATTACATTTATGGAAGCTCTATTAATCAAATGTTCTGAGCCTCTTTTTCTTGTGTAAACACTGTTGTGCTTGACCTCGTTCAAGATATCTGAGGTCATTCCATGGCTTACGATGCGGTACTCTGCTTTAAATTGCGCGCGGTCAGTTTGGTTTGCGCTCGATCGTATAACCCTGCGCTTCTGATAATTGCACCAGTTCTAATCCGACGGATTAATGGATGTTCGCAGGCTTCTCTCTGTTTGATACATTACACAAATATGTTTTGTCCTTTTGTGTCACAAACGACCGTATTAGTCAATGACCGTAAATAAACATGTGCAGACTGACTTATTCAATTCTAGGTAACCGCTACAGGTGCTACAGTTCGGCACAATCTTATAAAATAAACACGAATATGTTGGCTATTTCCTAAGAAATATTGAGGCTGCCCCCAAAGGTTATCGATTATCTAATACTTTAATACTATTTTAGGATAGGAACATGAGTATAGTGAATATGACATTTCACAACGCCTCTGTTCCCATCTAATTTATTTGAACAAAGCGTGACTATTGTAACGGGTTCAAAACACGCTTCAAGTTTAAGCTATAGGCCGTACTGAGGTTTTTTAATTTAAATTCTTAATTTATGGTAGCATTGGGTTTTATTGCAAGCCCAAATTAATGTGATCAACTCTAAATTGACAAGGAAATTTCATGTTGGAAAATTCGCCGAAAGGTTAGTCGAAGGTTTCTTGACTGAAAAATGATACAGGATTAATTTCTGCTTATTTACGGGCAACAAAGTTAATTCAGGTTTTTTCGATAAAACCTTCTTCGGTGCAATTAGTAAATCAAGAAATGAAAGTTTACGGTCGATCGCCCACTGAAATCTTTATAATTAATAAACAACTTTGGTAAATGAATAGCTGTTTTGTGTGACATCATAAGCATGTTTTATCGTCGTCTTGAAAAAACTTTAAACTTGTTTAGGTCAAAATACATTGTGATCAATAAATGTTCCTTAAGTTTAGTTCATGACTCTACCTTACTGAAGACTTCTTCCTGCCGCCATCTTCGGTAAAGAGTCGCTTAGTTTTAATCTCTTCTTGATATTTGTGGCTGCAATACTTCTCTACAACACATTGCTTCATTCGGGCTTGTTTTAGTGATGTTGTAGATTCAATAGTGCTAAAAATGACCTACGATTCGAAAAGGTGCCACTACAAAAAGAAACAAAACAAAACAAAACAGGTCCGCGCTGCGTACGTTTGTCTAGTGCAAGATGAAATTGCATGCTTACTGCTGTACTAATGTCAGATTTTAATAAAAGCAGTCTTGTACAGGGAATCACAGCAACAAGAGTTCTGCTTGTTACTGAATAACTGACAAAAACGTACAGTCGAACCTGTATTAAGCGGCATCACATTAAGCGGCCACTCTGTATTGAGTTGTCGGTTTTCAAAGTCCCGAAAATGTTGCCCCCTTAATTAGTTTAATTTTCACCTCTTTTAGGCGGTCACCTATATTAAGCGGCCACTCTGTATTGAGTTGTCGGTTTTCAAAGTCCCGAAAATGTTGCCCTCTTAATTAGTTTAATTTTCACCTCTTTTAGGCGGTCACCTATATTAAGCGGTTTTTGCACGAATAAAACACACAGATTTCAACACGACAACTTCCGTAAAATATTTTACAGAAGTAAAACAAAGATAGACACAATTTGGATACAATTTGCGACGACTTCTCGCTCATATTTGGGGCGTTACAATATTAGGCTTACAAGATGAAGTTGAGATTAAACCGCGACCCCAAAGAATCTAAAATCTAAAAGTTAAAACGAAAGGAAAATATAAAATATACAGTGTCTTAGTAACTGGGGAAGGGGGAGTGAGTGGGTCCTCGTGCAGAAATAGTTTTGTAAGTTACCTCCTGAGCCAAATGCAGTTCGGGGTAATGAGTAAAAATTTCGCCTCTCTGTTTACAAGTGTAACAGTTATGTGCGCTCCCCCCCCCCCCAAAAGCGTTAATTTTACTCTAAGTATGTATTATCTGTTTTAATTCGGAAGAGTTTTATGTTTGCTTTACATCGTAACTAAAAAAAAAAACTCGCTTTATAAGGGAACTACTCGCAAAAACAGTATGTTAGTATCGCATTCAGTTGTCTACCTCTGTTATAATCAATGCAATCAGCGGCATTAGAGAATTTTGGCGGAATGACTTGCCAATAAATATTTTAGCCAACTTGGATCGTCTGTGATACGTGACTCAAACTTCTGTATTACCAATATAAAGCTGGCGAGTGCTGTGTCAGTATAAAGAGCTCTTGGCCGCATCATGTTGATCATTTGATATGTTAATGTTTTATAACACATGGAAAATTCTCACCGCGTCTTGGGCTAGCATAACTTTCTCGAGTTGTCCCAACTCCCTGCGTGTTTAAATGATGCAATATAAACTCGGAAAAATTCCTCTATTGCTTGATTTTTAGATCGGTCGTTGAAGGTAGAAAGAGCTATGGGTTTTTTTTTACTTTGCCGCCCTTCTTAGTCTATTTACTCGCACGTGGCTCAGTTCAATATTGCTGGTTCTAGCAGTATGCGAGACATGCGTCGCATATGAACTATATAATGGCCCAGTTCACTATAGATTTTCTGTATCTTAACGGCAGAGCATCGGAGAAAGAAATGCGAAAGCTAGTTTTAAAAAAGCAAAGGGCACACTGAAAGCTCAAATAATGCATTTGGAGCTTTTACAACTAAGGAATTTGTTGAGGTGGGAATGTCAAAATATATCTTGTTGGCTCAAAAATGTTGTTCCGTTTTAGGAAATTGTCCTGAATGTTACTCCTTTATTTCTAAGAACGTTTGAAATTGGAGTCATTTATCATCAAAGAAGAAAAATTGTAGAAAAAGATGACAACGTTGGAAGATAACCTGATGCTTTCTTGTTCCAAAAATTCCCTTCTGATCGATGATCGCCGTGGGCTCATGTAATCGCTTTAACTATCCGAACAAGAATGAAAACCTCAATGTCAACATCCCGGTCTGTTGACACAGATTTGCTTGAAACCAATGAAACAATTGCCAAGACTGCAAAGATGTAAATTTGAATTGCAAATATCGGCATCACAATTTGTCAGCTACATCTATTACGCTGTTGTTCGCTTTATTCCCAATTGTTCACAATGTAAATTTAGACTTTTATTCGTCCCTTACTTCACTACTTGCTTGCAATTCGTAAGGTAATTTAATCAATGTGTTAGCAAAGGTGAAACAGTGAGAGAGAAAGATAACAACAATACTGCTCCTACCATGGCTCGTCTTGTATTGTCTAATGCGTCGTCTTGTCGTACAGGAAAGGAATGCTTAATTCCGATACCGACAGAACAAGGCATTTCAGAAACAGAGTATACACTTAACAAATTCCTGCAACTTATACTTTTTTTTTCTCTTCTTGTAGTGTATTAAGTAGTGCTACAAAATTATGTAATTGAAGACAACCGTCTCTGTACACATTGAACACAATTTTCGTCAAAAATTACCATGTGAAAGAAAACGTCAAACTGAAAAACTGGAAAACTCAACTAAAATGCTACTGAAAAAACAAAAATAAAATAAAAAAGGAGAAGGGAAAAAAAGGGAAAGGAAGACGATAAATTGAAGTGCAACTGTATAAATGATGTCTAAATCACTCCTACTTGCTCACTAAAAGTCCAGTTTATCAACTGATGGGGCCGGTAATCAACTGTATCAATAATATCTTCTAAAACGCAAAAAACAAACATATCGTCGTACAGAAAAATATACTTGTTTTGTTTACTTTTATCAACATGCATCGTGCTTAATAAAAAATTGCTTTGGTTTCCCTGATGACTCAGTCTTATCAGCAGACCTCAGCTCTTTCTGTCGCCATGTTCGCTGCTAAATCGATTCGTTTTTATCTGCTCCTGATCTTTGTGGCTTCACCTGACATTTCCTCATCCACTCGAGTGAATAAGACTGTCTCGGATGGCAAAGTTTTCATCACTGGAGACCATAATGAAGTTGTTTTGTCTTCCGCCCGAGAAACGAAACTGGAATTGGCTGAAATTAAAAACAAACTAAAGTTGTTAAGCGAGTCGAATGAAGATTTGTCCAATTTACTTCACGCCATGAACTTGACGCTAACAGACTTGGAGAAACAAGGTAGGATAAGCTTTCTTTCTTGATACAGATGAGATTACTGAATGCCTTTACACTGTATTGGACTGCTCCTTACAACTTGTAAACATTACCTTTTAAAAAAATACATTACCTGTGCGCTTCTCATTTACCAAATTTTCCGAATTTAGATTCAAAAGAAGGAACACTATCTGAGTTCCTCACGGTCTAGATTGCAGAGATGTTTGTTTTCAGAGTTATTTTTGACCAAACGAAGCTTTTCATAGATTATACTGAACTACGTTAGTTATTGCGTGGAAATCTAGTAATCGAATATTAACCGCTGGCGTGGCGAGTAACCCAGTAAGTTGTGCAGCACTCATAACTATAATTATTTGTGCATCGTGAAAAATTGTTTCACTTTTTTCAGCGGCCTCTTGGGTTGTGATACTACGCTTTTCACGCTTGAAAAAAATTTGTTTGTGGGGTTGCGTGGTATGCTCATAAAAAAAAACAAAAAACAACGACAACATTTCTTGGAACGCTGTTGTTGTAATCGGAGACTCGCTCGACCAATGGTTTGAAAAAGGTGTAAGGTGACAGTTCTCCTGAAAACGTTAACTGTAATCTATAGAACTATAACCATTTGTTATTGAACTACCCTTGTAACTTACATCAAATCAGTAGTTGCACCACAATTAAATCTAAAGACGAGATTTTTTAAAGAGGTCTCGAAAGCAGCGTTGACAAATTAAAAAACTGATTAATTCTACAGTTGCAGGGTACGCTCTGCAATTTCCACGAAAAGGAACCAGTGATTACGTCATCATCACACGTGGTATGCCAAACCTGTCAGCTGTGACAGTTTGTCTGTGGATAAAAACCGCTGATACTAGAAATGCAGGAACACTCCTGAGCTATGCTGTATCGGGACAAAGCAACGAGCTTCTCCTGATTGACTATAGAAATCTTGAGTTTTACATCAACGGCCATGGGAGGTTTGAGTATTTCATCTGAAGTTTTGTCCTGCTATTAAATCACAACAGTTATTTTGATTTAATGTTGCTGTAAGCTTTAAAATACTCAAAGTACACTTCTCGCGTTTTGCTGCTAATTTTAGGGGTTCTACTTCTGTATCCGCCAATGATGGAAAGTGGCATCATATCTGCCTCACATGGGAGAATACCGCTGGATCATGGAAATTATTTCGAGATGGTTCGGTTGCCGCTTCTGGTAAAAGTTTCCAAACAGGTAAATTCTTCTTTTAGTAATGGTCCGTACAATAGTATTAATTGTTTAGTGTGTGTAACTGCTAATACACTTAATACAAGAGGCCGAAATGACGAAACTGCGTGGATTCCACAAAATTCAAAGATTGATTGAAATAAACGAAGTTTACGAAGAAGTGTACGTGGACTTAAAAGTAGTTTTTAGATAGACACTAACCGCAAATAATTGCGTTGTGAACTAAACTGCTTTGTGCGGAGAAAAAACGATTAGTTAAAGTTCCCGCTTGAATGCTTTATATGTCGTTTGCAAGTAACGCTGAGAAAAACCACCCTAAGAAGCTGAAAAAGGCGAAAGAAGACTAAGGATACTAGAGAAACCGAGAAAGGCGCCAAAAAAGGAAAATCTATCAGACGAACTCTGACGAGGTAATGATCACTGGTGCCAAAAAATAAATACTTGAAAAACATGCAAAAACTTGATAAAAATGCACGTAACTGTGATGGTAAAATTACTTGATAAACGATTATAAAATTTATCACTTAAATGCTACAGTGTACGTTATGTTAGTCACTTAAGGATAAAGTGCGTAGTTCCCAAAGAGTAATGCGGAGGTTGGAACAAACAGAGCGACATGACTCGCTTATTCGGTAAATTATTGATTAAGAAAACGAAAAAAGGGAAAGAATGTACTCACTTTCCAGTCTTTTTTAACCGGTAAATTTATCTTTTTCCTTAATTTCCTGTTAATGTCCCCACAGGTCACATGATTCGTGCAAATGGAGCCCTGGTACTAGGGCAGGATCAAGACTCAAAGGGGGGAAAATTTGATGCCCACCAATCTTTTATCGGTGAAATGACAGGTGTCAACATTTGGGATCACGTCATAAAAGACCAAGAAATCGCACGCATGTCAAAGTCGTGCCTGACCGAGGTGGGCAACGTGTTTCAGTGGCGCGAGTTCAAAGCTCACATCAAGGGCTCAGTGAAGATAATCAAGCCATCGTGCTGAAGTGAAAACATCCATGACGTGATTTGTAAACATTATGAAGGATGTTACATTAAAGATAAATTTTGACAGGTCTTTGTTGATAATCTGATGCGTGCCCGTATCTTTTCTTGACCATCCTACCAATGCTGGGACTAATTTTTTTCGGTCGGTGCAATTTTAAAATTGAATGTGGAAAGTAACTCGGGAATGTCTTGATTTGGTTTTCCCATCAACTGACGAGATGCAAAACTAAAACCATCCGCACCTTTTATGTTCGTGTCAGTTTTTCCCTGTCATGGCCATGGCCATTTTTGCCAAGCTCCCTTGGATAAAATAATAAATAACTAGCTCAATTTTTTGTTATGAAAATAAGATTATTTAGACTGTAATTCTCTGTAAGATATTTCAATGATTTTAATTTTAATCACGCACCAAAGCACTGCTATCGTTGCATACATCAATGACAGCAATAGTATCGAGGTTAAAATTTTGACCCTTATCATGCACATGCGCAAGGTAACTCCTGGTGATCCTTGTTAGTGTGGACAGAAGACATTTTAATCGTTCTTTTGTTTTTTTAAATATGAACTGGAAACGTCTGCTACATTACGTTTCAATGTGTCGCCCTAATAACATGAATTAGCCTCAACATAGAGCTATTCGCTCTATGTTAAGTCATATTTTATGACATTACATTTATGGAAGCTCTATTAATCAAATGTTCTGAGCCTCTTTTTCTTGTGTAAACACTGTTGTGCTTGACCTCGTTCAAGATATCTGAGGTCATTCCATGGCTTACGATGCGGTACTCTGCTTTAAATTGCGCGCGGTCAGTTTGGTTTGCGCTCGATCGTATAACCCTGCGCTTCTGATAATTGCACCAGTTCTAATCCGACGGATTAATGGATGTTCGCAGGCTTCTCTCTGTTTGATACATTACACAAATATGTTTTGTCCTGAAATTAGAAGATCCTCGCAGCTAAGAACACTACTGAAACGAGTAGTTGTAAGTAGGACCTGAAAAAATCTTTTTTTCATACATCTAAAATCGTCATGTTTTGTCCTTTTGTGTCACAAACAATGACCGTATTAGTCATAAACATGTGCAGACTGACTTATTCAATTCTAGGTAACCGCTACAGGTGCTACAGTTCGGCACAATCTTATAAAATAAACACGAATATGTTGGCTATTTCCTAAGAAATATTGAGGCTGCCCCCAAAGGTTATCGATTATCTAATACTTTAATACTATTTTAGGATAGGAACATGAGTATAGTGAATATGACATTTCACAACGCCTCTGTTCCCATCTAATTTATTTGAACAAAGCGTGACTATTGTAACGGGTTCAAAACACGCTTCAAGTTTAAGCTATAGGCCGTACTGAGGTTTTTTAATTTAAATTCTTAATTTATGGTAGCATTGGGTTTTATTGCAAGCCCAAATTAATGTGATCAACTTTAAATTGACAAGGAAATTTCATGTTGGAAAATTCGCCGAAAGGTTAGTCGAAGGTTTCTTGACTGAAAAATGATACAGGATTAATTTCTGCTTATTTACGGGCAACAAAGTTAATTCAGGTTTTTTCGATAAAACCTTCTTCGGTGCAATTAGTAAATCAAGAAATGAAAGTTTACGGTCGATCGCCCACTGAAATCTTTATAATTAATAAACAACTTTGGTAAATGAATAGCTGTTTTGTGTGACATCATAAGCATGTTTTATCGTCGTCTTGAAAAAACTTTAAACTTGTTTAGGTCAAAATACATTGTGATCAATAAATGTTCCTTAAGTTTATTTCATGACTCTATCTTACTGAAGACTTCTTCATGCCGCCATTTTCGATAAAGAGTCGCTTAGTTTTAATCTCTTCTTGATATTTGTGGCTGCAATACTTCTCTACAACACATTGCTTCATTCGGGCTTGTTTTAGTGATGTTGTAGATTCAATAGTGCTAAAAATGACCTACGATTCGAAAAGGTGCCACTACAAAAAGAAACAAAACAAAACAAAACAGGTCCGCGCTGCGTACGTTTGTCTAGTGCAAGATGAAATTGCATGCTTACTGCTGTACTAATGTCAGATTTTAATAAAAGCAGTCTTGTACAGGGAATCACAGCAACAAGAGTTCTGCTTGTTACTGAATAACTGACAAAAACGTACAGTCGAACCTGTATTAAGCGGCATCACATTAAGCGGCCACTCTGTATTGAGTTGTCGGTTTTCAAAGTCCCGAAAATGTTGCCCTCTTAATTAGTTTAATTTTCACCTCTTTTAGGCGGTCACCTATATTAAGCGGCCACTCTGTATTGAGTCGTCGGTTTTCAAAGTCCCGAAAATGTTGCCCTCTTAATTAGTTTAATTTTCACCTCTTTTAGGCGGTCACCTATATTAAGCGGTTTTTGCATGAATAAAACACACAGATTTCAACACGACGACTTCCGTAAAATATTTTACAGAAGTAAAACAAAGATAGACACAATTTGGATACAATTTGCGACGACTTCTCGCTCATATTTGGGGCGTTACAATATTAGGCTTACAAGATGAAGTTGAGATTAAACCGCGACCCCAAAGAATCTAAAATCTAAAAGTTAAAACGAAAGGAAAATATAAAATATACAGTGTCTTAGTAACTGGGGAAGGGGGAGTGGGTGGGTCCTCGTGCAGAAATAGTCTTGTAAGTTACCTCCTGAGCCAGATGCAGTTCGGGGTAATGAGTAAAAATTTCGCCTCTCTGTTTACAAGTGTAACAGTTATGTGCGCTCCCCCCCCCCCAAAAGCATTAATTTTACTCTAAGTATGTATTATCTGTTTTAATTCGGAAGAGTTTTATGTCTGCTTACATCGTAACTAAAAAAAAAAACTCGCTTTATAAGGGAACTACTCGCAAAACAGTATGTTAGTATCGCATTCAGTTGTCTACCTCTGTTATAATCAATGCAATCAGCGGCATCAGAGAATTTTGGCGGAATGACTTGCCAATATAAAGCTGGCGAGTGCTGTGTCAGTATAAAGAGCTCTTGGCCGCATCATGTTGATCATTTGATATGTTAATGTTTTATAACACATGATTTAGAGTAAGTGATTCCGCTTCACATCAACTTTCGGTTAGAAGAAAAAAAGAGAAAAAAATCAGCGACAACACCTTAGCCTATGAACACCCTTCCCCTGCACTAGAAAAAACAATATAAATTCTCCAGACCTTTCAAGAAGTTTTGGCGACATTCACCTCGTCGAGAATTTCGGTTTTTGATCCAATCAACTTCTGCTTATGTTGGGACTGAAGGGTTAAAACTCTCTGCGGAAGTGATGCACGACGTTTACAATTGTCGTTTCAATTCTTCCTGGATATAGAATCGGCAAATAGTGAAATTTTTTAACAGAAAACGTTGACTTAATACTTTCATTTTCAAATGCGAAAACCACATACAGAACTCGAAATATTTCACCAACCTGCGTTTAGGATATTTTTTTGTTGTATTTCCTCTTGGTATTGCTCACGTTTAATGAAACCAACGTTATTCCTTTTCGTTACGTTTCAGAATGGAACCATTGCTTATTGAAGACTAACAGGGGGTGGGTAACAACTGCACGCTGGAAGATCGCTTGTTTGCTCACCATGGCTGTCTTGCTGGTCCTGTTATTGATATTTATGACGCTGTATGTATCAGGAAAAAGGCTATGCGGGGCACAGAAAGGTAAGACATACGTTTGAAGGATGTTTATGCGCAGTTATGGTGAACAAATCTGCAAATTACCTACGCTCAAGAACGTGAATATCGTATGAGGCGATATTATTAATCGAAACATGTAAAACGCCTTGGGATCAAAACCTACTAATTAGCAGTAAGTCTGGAGTAAAGGATATGTTGGTGGACTCAATCTTATGGCTACGTTCGAGATGTTTAGATGAGGATATGTAAACAATGATTTCCTTCCCTAGTTGCATGGCCTCATTCAAACACTCGAGGCTTTGGAAAGTTCTCACCGCGTCTTGGGCTAGCATAACTTTCTCGAGTTGTCCCAACTCCCCGCGTGTTTAAATAATGCAATATAAACTCGGAAAAATTCCTCTATTGCTTGATTTTTAGATCGGTCGTTGAAGGTAGAAAGAGCTATGGGTTTTTGTTTTACTTTGCCGCCTTTCTTAGTCTATTTACTCGCACGTGGCTCAGTTCAACATTGCTGGTTCTAGCAGTATGCGAGACATGCGTCGCATATGAACTATATAAGTTCACTATAGATTTTCCGGCTGTAGCTTAACGGCAGAGCATCGGAGAAAGAAATGCGAAAGCTAGTTTTAAAAATGTAAAGTGCACACTGAAAGCTCAAATAATGCATTTGGAGCTTTCACAACTAAGGAATTTGTTGAGGTAGGAATGTCAAAATATGTCTTGTTGGCTCAAAAATGTTGGTCCGTTTTAGGAAATTGTCCTGGATGTCACTCCTTTGTTTCTAAGAACATTTGAAATTGGAGTCATTTATCATCAAAGAAGAAAAATTGTAGAAAAAGATGACAACGTTGGAAAATAACCTGGCGCTTTCTTGTTCCAAAAATTCCTTTCTGATCGATGATCGCCATGGGCTCATGTAATCGCTTTAACTATCCGAACAAGAATGAAAACCTCAATGTCAACATCCTGGTCTGTTGACACAGATTTGCTTGAAACCAATGAAACAATTGCCAAGACTACAAAGATGTAAATTTGAATTGCAGATATCGGCATCACAATTTGTCAGCTACATCTATTACGCTGTTGTTCGCTTTATTCCCAATTGCTCACAATGTAAATTTAGACTTTTATTCGTCCCTTACTTCACTACTTGCTTGCAATTCGTAAGGTAATTTAATCAATGTGTTAGCAAAGGTGAAACAGTGAGAGAGAAAGATAACAACAATACTGCTCCTACCATGGCTCGTCTTGTATTGTCTAATGCGTCGTCTTGTCGTACAGGAAAGGAATGCTTAATTCCGATACCGACAGAACAAGGCATTTCAGAAACAGAGTATACACTTAACAAATTCCTGCAACTTATACTATTTTTTTCTCTTCTTGTAGTGTATTAAGTAGTGCTACAAAATTATGCAATTGAAGACAACCGTCTCTGTACACATTGAACACAATTTTCGTCAAAAATTACCATGTGAAAGAAAACGTCAAACTGAAAAACTGGAAAACTCAACTAAAATGCTACTGAAAAAACAAAAATAAAATAAAAAAGGAGAAGGGAAAAAAAGGGAAAGGAAGACGATAAATTGAAGTGCAACTGTATAAATGATGTCTAAATCACTCCTACTTGCTCACTAAAAGTCCAGTTTATCAACTGATGGGGCCGGTAATCAACTGTATCAATAATATCTTCTAAAACGCAAAAAACAAACATATCGTCGTACAGAAAAATATACTTGTTTTGTTTACTTTTATCAACATGCATCGTGCTTAATAAAAAATTGCTTTGGTTTCCCTGATGACTCAGTCTTATCAGCAGACCTCAGCTCTTTCTGTCGCCATGTTCGCTGCTAAATCGATTCGTTTTTATCTGCTCCTGATCTTTGTGGCTTCACCTGACATTTCCTCATCCACTCGAGTGAATAAGACTGTCTCGGATGGCAAAGTTTTCATCACTGGAGACCATAATGAAGTTGTTTTGTCTTCCGCCCGAGAAACGAAACTGGAATTGGCTGAAATTAAAAACAAACTAAAGTTGTTAAGCGAGTCGAATGAAGATTTGTCCAATTTACTTCACGCCATGAACTTGACGCTAACAGACTTGGAGAAACAAGGTAGGATAAGCTTTCTTTCTTGATACAGATGAGATTACTGAATGCCTTTACACTGTATTGGACTGCTCCTTACAACTTGTAAACATTACCTTTTAAAAAAATACATTACCTGTGCGCTTCTCATTTACCAAATTTTCCGAATTTAGATTCAAAAGAAGGAACACTATCTGAGTTCCTCACGGTCTAGATTGCAGAGATGTTTGTTTTCAGAGTTATTTTTGACCAAACGAAGCTTTTCATAGATTATACTGAACTACGTTAGTTATTGCGTGGAAATCTAGTAATCGAATATTAACCGCTGGCGTGGCGAGTAACCCAGTAAGTTGTGCAGCACTCATAACTATAATTATTTGTGCATCGTGAAAAATTGTTTCACTTTTTTCAGCGGCCTCTTGGGTTGTGATACTACGCTTTTCACGCTTGAAAAAAATTTGTTTGTGGGGTTGCGTGGTATGCTCATAAAAAAAAACAAAAAACAACGACAACATTTCTTGGAACGCTGTTGTTGTAATCGGAGACTCGCTCGACCAATGATTTAAAAAAGGTGTAAGGTGACAGTTCTCCTGAAAACGTTAACTGTAATCTATAGAACTATAACCTTTTGTTATTGAACTACCCTTGTAACTTGCATCAAATCAGTAGTTGCACCACAATTAAATCTAAAGACGAGATTTTTAAAGAGGTCTCGAAAGCAGCGTTGACAAATTAAAAAAACTGAGTAATTCTTCAGTTGCAGGATACACTCTGCAATTTCCACGAAAAGGAACCAGTGATTACGTCATCATCACACGTGGTATGCCAAACCTGTCAGCTGTGACAGTTTGTCTGTGGATAAAAACCGTTGATACTGGAAATGAAGGAACACCCCTGAGCTATGCTGTATCTGGACAAAGCAACGAGCTTCTCCTGTGTAACTATAGAAATTTTGAAGTTTTCATCAACGACCATAGGAGGTTTGAGTATTTCATCTGAAGTTTTGTCCTGTTATTAATCACAATAGTTGTTTTGATTTAATGTTGCTATAAGCTTTAAGATACTCAAAATGCACTTCTCGCGTTTTGCTGCTAATTTTAGTGGTTCTACTTCTGTATCCGCCAATGATGGAAAGTGGCATCATATCTGCCTCACATGGGAGAATACCGCTGGATCATGGAAATTATTTCGAGATGGTTCGGTTGCCGCTTCTGGTAAAAGTTTCCAAACAGGTAAATTCCTCTTTTAGTATTGGTCCGTACAATAGTATTAATTGTTTAGTGAGTGCATCTGCTAATACAAAGAGGCCGAAATGACGAAACCGCGTCTTTTTTAACAGGTAAATTTATCTTTTTCCTTAATTTCCTGTCAATGTCCTCACAGGTCACGTGATTCGTGCAAATGGAGCCCTGGTACTAGGGCAGGATCAAGACTCAAAGGGAGGAGGTTTTAAAGCCCATCAATCTTTCATCGGTGAAATGACAGGTGTCAACATCTGGGATCACGTTCTAAAAGACCAAGAAATCGCACGCATGTC